TAGAGCAAGTGATCTGTTACTTCCCCTATCTTCTTGGTTTATTTGCTCATCCAAATAGTCTTTTTTAAGTCCTATCCAGCCCCAAACTCTTCAGAATTGCCAACCTGGCAATGACAACTGACTGAGCAGCACATGTGGATATAGAATTAATAGGTGGATGTAAGTGACATAGAGCATTCGGGAAATGAAATTTGTACAAAGAATTGGCGTGGCATAAAATAAATAGATCAAGAAAAAAAAACAAAACCACATGCATTCAAGCATGAAGGGGTTTGTTGGCTCGCTTTTGTTGTTTTCCTCTCCTTTGCTCCAAAACAGCATTGCTTCCAAGCAAGTTGTTTGCCTACATTGGGAAAACAGGTCCCCACAGTAAGAGCAACACTAAGAGGATTCTCAAATATTACCTTTGCCCTTGAATAAATTGGGTGCCACACCAAGGACTTGGTACATTTTCTATACACAAACAGGTGGGCTCTTTGGCCTGACAACCCTCCTCTAAATTGCCTTCAAAGTACAGTATATACAGAGAGTCATCACATTGAATCATCAGCAAGGAACAGATCGTTGCTGCAGAAGAACAGCAGTATTGGCCAAGAAAAAAAACAAAGGATCTCAATTCATGTCATCATTTCTGGGAAAGCTTCAGTTCACAAGGGAACTTCCAGCTTCTTGTCTTCACTTTTATTTCTTTTGTATGAAAAACAAAAGGAGTGTCACTCACAGTACTTTTCCTCTGGAAATGGAGCAGAATCCTACAACATGTAAAGGGGGAGACTGCTATCTGGCCCAAACCAGAAGATTTCACCATTCCTTCCACTGCTGAAACGCATCATTGATGTTCAGCCTTCCTCAGATTCCCTCTGGCATGGCACAAATGGCAGAGGAATCAATACTGCTGAACACAGCAGGGGAGCCTACCTGGTACCGCCGGTTTGTCTTCTGTAGTTCTTGTAACCATGGCATCTGGGCAGCAAGAAATAAACACGCAGTGTCGAGAACGGAAGTGCTTCTATTTCCTTTCCCTCCCCTGAAACAAAAGAGTATCTTTTTTTACATGCAGTTTGTGCTTACTGCTCTTGTTTTTAACAAACATTGCTATTAAGTCTATCAAATGTCTCAGTTACTTATTTAAGTCTGGTATTCAAAACCACCAAAATCTGAAGTGTCTGGAGGCACGACTTTTGTTGACTCCGTTTCTAAGCGTTACTTCTGTACCTGCGCTCCAGCAGAGTAATTTAGTCTAGCAGAGAAACCAAGAGAACACAATCCTTCATGGGATTTGGTGCCACTTTTGCCATGAGCTCTAAACCTCAACTTCTGTCTCCAGCCTTCTTTTTCCCCATCCCCACAGCCCTCTTTATGCCTAGATACGGGGCAATTTCAACCTTCCTTGCTTTGAGTTTTCTCCTTTTTTTTTTTTAATGGCCATGGCCCACAGAGACACAGATTGAACCCTGTGCCTGCCTTTTTTGTCTGAATTTTAGTACTCCGTCTCCACTCAACCGTTCTTTAAGGTCCAAGTATCCACATGACTTCATAGACATTCATCTTCACCCCTCTCAAATCCTCTCTGACAAGTGCTCCATCTTTCCCGAAGGAAGATAAGCAGCGTTCAGCTGCTGATAAAACTATTTTTAAAAAGGTAGTGTTTAGTGATTTCAAAGAAGAGGCAGTGCCCTTTGGACCTCTGTCATTATCTTCTTCCTTCAATTCTTCCTATAAAGTCACAAACCACACTGCAACAACCCAAATGTTTCCAGAGCAACAAACTGTCAGGTTCTATATATAGCCCACATGTCACAATTCAATCCTCATCTTATCAAGGAGTGTTAGAGGTATGGCAACACATAATGCTTGGAAAGTTCCAGATACATTTAATATAGCAGTTTACTCATAGCAAGTCTTGGCAATCAGCTCCAATGAAGTACTATTGTGCACTAATAAAGTCTATTAGGCTTGGAGAAGGGTGCTGGCATCCATCTCATGAAGAACAAATAATGTCTCTCTCCAACACGCTACTCTCAATCCAAAACCAAATTTTATATCTGAAAGCTGTAAGTTCTCTTTGGCAATACTCAAATAAGCAAGTTAGACTATGTAAGGCAGCTAGGTGATAAATTCCATCTCCATTTGTAAGCGTCTTAATCACACTAGGATGTAGCGCTGTGCTTCTTGGACCTAACCTACTGCAGCCCACTCAGATACATTGATGATTTACATTATGCTGGCCAAGATATCCTGACCTTTCCCTCTATTACTCTCATTTGTCCTCTTGAAAGGCACTATGGGTACAGTTATTGTTCAATGACTTCCTGAGCATTTGGACCCTCTGCCAAACACATTCAGAAAGACTCCACCTGTACAGCCGTTGTTATCAGCCCAACGAGTAGAAGCTAACACCATAAAATTCATAAGCCTGTGGACACTGAATTAGGAGACAGAGTCCTGTATCACTTCAAACTAATTCTACCCTTAAGTGAAGTCTGTAAAAATATTTACAGTTATGTAGTCTGGCTCAGTTGATATCATTCAGCCATGAAACTGAAGACTGTAAACATTTTACACAGACTTGGATACAGACATCTTCATTTTGTTATTCTGTTAACCAAGAAATCGTCAAACAGCTTCCTTTACATTCTAACAGATTTTCCCTGAAAACCTAAGCCACAAATTCCTGGAAATTCCATTCTTTAAATGTAAGATTTAGGCACCAACTCCCAACAGCAAAGTACTTACATCAGGGAAAAGACCCTAAGTGGAGCTCTAGGACTCAAAGTCGTGCACAAGCATTTTCATAATCAGGTCTCTGTACTGATTTCAGTTAATTTCACTGCTGACCAGGTGATTCCAGCAGTTTTAATATGTGGCCTGTCTACACCCAAAGCTTTAAGAACTTCCACTCAAAGCAGTTTGGTAATCATCTTTATACACAACTAAAGACAAGGGAAGAAAAATTCCTTCATTCTTGATGTCATGAGGGAATCCTTCAAGATTAGGGCATAAGCCTTTTTCTTAAGTCATACCAGTACAGCAAACTGACAAGATTGTTAGAAACCTTCCACACCAGCCCTGAAAACACTGTCCTCCTTTCATTATCACTAAGAAAAAGGAGCTGGTGAGCTGTCCACCATCTTGTTCACCAGATCAAACCTTTTCAAGCTACTTGCTCATAAGGGGTTAGGAAATACTGGAATGTCTGGAATCTACACTTACAAAAGTTACTTTCCTCCTAGTTCACCAGTTTGTCACTTTGCCAGAAGCATCAAGTTCTTTGAGTCAGAGGCTTATCAATACACCAGTTTCTTTCCATCTTCTCTAGGAAGAAAAGAAAACAATAATCAAGGATATTGTTACTCAACAAGGAGAACAAATGTTCTCCAAATTCATGACAGTGGACTGCAATAGGATGCTTTTCAGTACCTCATTTCTCTTTCATAAGAAGATATTTTATATTCACGATCACTATCATTGGGCCAACAGCACTTCATTAAGAATCTTTCCGGCATTTTATCTGAAATTAAAGTTACAAATCTTCCCTTTTACATCAAAGAATGTAATCAACACAATAGCTCAGGAGACAGGAAGCTGAACAGAGAAAGAGCAGGGGCAGCAGAAGTGCCAGACTTGGTCACAGGACACCAGTGACGCCTAGGGGCTACAGAGGTGGGAGAAGCTGTCAGACAAAGCCTGCTCCCAGCAGCTCTGCAGTGCTAAGAGAGCAGTTATCTGAGTGCACATTGCCAAGGTGGCAGATGCCTGAAGTCACATTTGGCTTGTAATCTTTTTACATTCACAACTGGAGGAAAAAAAATGTAAAAAAATCACCAAAAGCAGCAATACTTGCAACATACCTAGTAATTTATCAGCAGCACTTTGGTTCTCACACTGTAATATATCAGTTATCAATACTTACACCCAAACACTCACATAACACCTCACCTGAGCTGCAGGTACCCTGCATAAGGGCACGACTCAGACTTGAAGTTCTGTGAACTGCTTTACCAATACACACGTTCTGCACGTTTTGTTAAGCAAGGATCCAAGGTGCTACCATGACAGAAGTGTTTTCAGATCTCACTACATAGAGCCACTTGTGTATTTAGGGTCAATTCAGAAGACTTCAGTGGAACTTGATGAATACATCATCCAAATGTACCTTAAGATGCAGTAAATCCAGGTAACATCGTACACAACACAAGTTTTACCTTTGGAGTGAAGGCAATTCACCTGTGTGGTGCACTGGGTTTTGTTGTTTTGGGTTTTTTTTGTACAGGAACACCACGATTTCATAGCTTGCAAGTTCCTGGCTCCCTCAGGATCACACTATGAGCAGCACCAGCTTTTCTGGTGAAAAGTAAAGCACCATAAAACAGTCAGGGAAAAAAAGTACACCTAATTCAACTCTGAAAACCTGTGTATTTCCTTATCTAGAAGGGAGGAGCAGGGTGGGCTGAAGCAATATCTGACTCTCACTTAATTTCACAGCAACACTGAGAAAATAGAAATATTCGGATTCCCCACTTCCTCCAGCCATCAGAGTGCAGAACAAGAACTTCAGCATGAAAATTTCAGCAATGACTAATCACCATACAATTCACATTCATGGGGCTTAACCAAAACTCTCTATCCATAAGCTATTGGTATAAAGCTACAGACAACAGTAGTATTTAAAGATGACATTAAACAAAGTGAAAAGGACAGCACACCTGCAGCTGCTGCTTTCAGACACCACACAGAACTCAGCCACATACCCTCTTCTAGGTATTAGTTTGCACACATTTTCAGAACAGCTGGTCAGTCTAAAGATTCTGCCTTACATTTCATCACTAAGCTCTCAAGTCAGACAAACTGCCAGCAATTCAGCATAATAAGCCACAACTCACTTGTGGCAACTAACACAGCTTGCAAGTTCTTGGGGTACCAGCTCAGAAACCGAGCTGCAATTTCTGCATTTTTTGCTTCTTACATGGAGTAGAAAGCTCAAGAAACAGAAAGACAACTAAAAATATATCTGTTTTATTTACCAGTTTTCTAAAAAGCAAAGTCATAAAAATTAGTCACAAGTGGCAAAACCAAAATATATTGCACAGTGTACAGAAAACATTGTTGACATGTTGACAAAGTGTCATCACAAATAAATCATCTTACAACAGCTTGGAAAAATTACAGCTTCAGAATCTTATCTATAAATGGAGGCATGTAGATTTAAAGTTACAGGAAAATATTTAATACCACCCTGTAAATGCAAACACTTTAAGGATGCAAGAATAAGACCGTAATTAAGCACATCCACAAAATGCTCTAAATATACTTTTCTCTTCCTTTCACTAAGTTATGCTTACAAGATGGTCATTGAAAAAAAAAGAAATGAGAACAAAAAGAAAAAGACAACAGAAAAAAAAGCATGCTAAAGCAAAGAAGTTCACAAAGTGGTTGAGAAGTCCCTGAAAATAATGTTCAATAATGATGCACTCCTTTATATATAAAGCTTTGATTTTTTCCCAAACCCTGGTCCAATTGAAACTACTTGTGTTTACATGTAATAAAACACAAAAAAGGAATATGTAATATGCTGGTATAGCTGCACTGTTCCATTTATGATTGAAACATTTAATATATTGGACTTGAACACCAACATTTTAATGTTTCTCATTCAGTTTATATACATCTACTGAAGTTTGATCTTGCAGAACTGTTAAAGACAGGAACCAGATCATACTGATGAGTGTCTCATACTATGTGTAAGATACTCACTTTTGAAGTGGTGATTCTACTTGTTTTGTAACTGCACACATTCTAACTGAAGAACCTGTCTCCACTGCAAGTTTCCTTATGACACTGTCCAATTAATAATTAATTCACACATTTCTTCTACTAAGCAAATACCAGTCACTTCAGCATGTTTTTATGGTGCCAGATCTACCTTCACGTCCTCTTTGTATGCAAAGAGAAACGTTTCTATATCATGAAAATAACTTTAAATTTCAGTGAATAGAAATGTTATCTTAATATTAAAAAAAAAATCTTTCATGAAAAATATTTTAAGACAAACATAGCAAAGTTAATTGAGTTTCTTCACGTTTTTAACCCCCGAGACCTACAAGCTGACATCTAGCAATGCTGCAACTAGATTTCTTCTAACTAATCAATACTGATAGTTACTCTCTTTTGTTCTCTTCCCACATCCAACACGTACAAACAACACAAGGACAAAGTACACATTATTCAAGTTGATACAATCGCTGAGGCATTAAAATTTAATCCTCGACAAGAAAGGACTCCAGCCACACCAAGTGCTAGATTACGTAATCTGTGAAAGTCAATGGTATTCTCAACATCTCTTTTTGTAAGAAAAACCTTCCAATTATGAGAAACGTCTAACCCTCTCTTGCCACGTGCAAGTTTGATGTTTGTTTAGCCAAACAGAAAAACGGACAGCCAACACCCTAACAGAACAGACTGAAAATAAAGGTTAAGGTCACACCACGTTTTGTCTCAGTCACTGGATCATACATGGTCATCCTGTGTGTTTTTAAATTTTTTAGCACAGATTTCCTGTGTATAAATTCTCAGAAATCATGCTTCAAGATAACAAGCAGTTCATAGAATTGCAGTGTCCATTGAAACAAAAGGCTACAGAGTTGTCAGCACTCACCTATGCTTTCTTAAGTATCCATGTAAGTACTTTAACCCAAGGTCATTTTAGAAAATTAGCTTAAGGTTTCTCTTAGGCAAAAAGTTCCCATAGTAAAACTATAGGAAACAAAGAGGATGGGTCAACTGGTACGAAAAGGGCAAGTTTGAACTGATTTTCTTGAAGGTTATTCTACTATGCTGGACCACTTCAAACATTAAGAGCAGTGCTAAAGAGCTTCTAAGCAAGATTCCTAGAACAATTTATAACGCTGAACCATTACTCAAAGATTTGAAGAACTATATGTTTACAAGGGGATTTTCAGTACTCACAGTACTCATTGACCCACTCAGTAGGCATCAATGAAAGCTTTTATAGTTTACAAAGAAAAACTTGAGGCATAAGTGCAAAATATGAGTCTTTTTCATTAAATAAAAGCTATACCATCTTCAACAATGTCCTTACTGGGAAGAGATTGCCACCATTTAAAAAGAGATTCTTTCACAAATGACTCTTTTAGAGCAAGAAAAACATTGTTTTATGAACTGGATTCATCTTGCTGCAAACAAGATTAAAACCTTAACGGATCATCACTGTAATTTTGAAGCAGCTTTAAAAGCAACAGGCTCAAAGGCTATGTTTGTTGTTCGCTGGCTTGACTCAGGGAAACCAGATTGTTCTCCCCACTGTCTTCAATCATTTCATTAAGGTCCATTTCATGGATTTCTTCATCGTATGACGTATAAAAATTGCTCTGTATATTGTCCTCACAAAAAATACATTCCTAAAACAAAACACAAAAAACATTAAGTCAAAGAAAAAAGAGCATTTTCTAAACATCAGTCCATTTGCACGTGATCCCTGATTCCAAAGGAACCTGTACATCTGTGCTACACTCAGGTGTATTCCATTCCCCAACTGCTCCCACACAATCAATTTATAACACGTAGTAAATCAATACAAGGTACCCAAAACTCTACTATGAACAGTTACATCACAGAATGTTTACAATTCTGACATCTTACAAGCACTATAAAATTTCTCCTACATTTGATTGCTAACACTTATATGTTTACATGCTCACGTCAGCTGCACTACTTAAGAGACTGAAGCAACTGTAGTTTCACACCTGTCGGATGCTCTCACATTAATGCTGCTGTAACATTAATAACAGGAGAAGGATCTATTTAAATTCTATTGCATTCACTTTTGAAACATTCATGAATAAAGAGAGCCTCTGCATTTGATAGTTTATCTGAAAAAACCTGCAAATGATGGAGAGCTTAGGGAAATGGAATGCAATCAGTTACTTGTAAGTAAAATTCACATATAACCAATAAAACTGCAAAGATTCTTTTCTTTTCCTCCAATTTGTTTCCTGAGCTATTAATCTACAATCTAAACAAGAGATGATCCTGTAGGAAAAATTCAGTACAGAGAAGGAAAGCTGTATTCCCATTCATTGCTCACTTTCAAGGAAGAAGTAGGTGTAGGTTTTATGCACAAAACAAACGTGTTTTTCATGTCATATGAAAGTTTTAAGCAATGAAATTGCTGGCTGCATTGATACATAATTTCTAAGAGATGCAACAGAACTAGAAATAGCAAGGACATTTCTTATACTGAATTCACTACTACATTGACTTTTCTACTGGGAAGATTTCTGGTAAGTTAAATCAAGCCAGAAACCACTGCAAGCAAGTTCAATTTTAACTTTTTCTCAGTATAACCGGCCAAACTTTCCAACAGGAATGGAAAACTAACACAGGCAGCTAATAAGCATTGTTATAGGTGCAAAAATAACAAACTAATCTAAACTTACAGAATTAGCAACAGTCTTTGGCAGTCCACCTTGCTGGATCCATGGATGAACTTCAATAAGCTCTCTTTTTTGGTCTTCAGTAAATTTTGGTTGTAGTTTCTGCATTTGCTTTAATTTCAGCTTGTCTTCTTTTAAAACTGTTTCCAAATCTCTAAAATGAAACGTATTCAGAAATTGAGCTCCAATTACTTTAGGACTTGACACCTACATAAGTTACAGAATCAAATACAAGCATTTTTTTAAAAAACTATTTTTGTTCTGAATTGTTAAGCTTACAAATCTGACATTGGAAAAAAAAGACTGATTTCATCATCATTCTACATTTGCAGAAAACTAAACTTCAACGCATCTCTGCTGGCTTGTTGTCCTTCCAAATCCCACTGAGAATGGCTTGCTTAGAGCTATTAAGGCAGTACTTCCAGTGAAACAAAGAAGTTCAGTGCCCCTCTGCAGCTCCTGCAGTGAGTTCCGAGTTCTCCTTCAGCAGGACAACCTGAATCAGACACTGGATGCACATATGAGATATGCATTAGCTTCCAAAAAATATACACAGTTAACTTAAATTCAGGTAACAGACCTAAAAAAAAAAAACAAGTCATTCTTCTCCAGAACTTCTCAGGTAGTATGCAAGAGATAGAAAGGAAGCAATGATTCTTGACACTGACTTTAACATTTAAACAGGTTGTCTTCCATTGAGACAGTGATTCAGCTCCCCCCGCTCCCCCACAGTTTATGAAGTACTGAGGTACTGGAATTACCTAGAGGGTATCTGGTAAGTCATCATAACGGTGTCATCTGTGTTTGCCATCAAAAGCCATATTGGATCCTGAAGAACATACTTAATGAAGTGCTCACTTTCTTCTATTTCTGCCTTCATTTTTGTTTTATGATGGTTTTCTGAAGAATCGATACTCCCAAAGTATTTGCTGGTATGACTGGTTTCACTACTCCCTTTAAAATAGGAATTAAAGATTCATTGGCAATTGTCAAATGCATGGATCAGTTCAGTATTTTTGAAGCTACAAAGAATTGAAAGCATAAAACACCACCACCATTTTATTTCATTTTTAAACAAAAAGGTACTCCTCTTCCCACTTAGGTAATATTTTCAACATTTTTTTAAAACCCAATCATTAAAGCTCAACCTCTATGAAGTTGCAATAGAATAGTCAACTAAACAAAAATACATTTGAAACACCAAGGATTATGGTACTCCCTCCTCATTACTCCATCATGCCTATGAAATGTTTTATAGACTATGTGCACACAAAAAAATCAGAAGTTCTATACTGTAAATCATAGTAGAGAGGACATGTGATGCAATGAAAAAAAAGAATGAAGATTAAATACAGGAGTGATTTTTCCATGAAGCACTCAGCATTCACCTGATGTCTGTAGTACATCATACTGCAATGCTCCTAACATGCTAGGAGTATTCACTGCCTGTGTTACCTGTTCTGCTCCCTGACATGTCACAGCCATTAGATCCGGACCCGAGAGATTCAGCAGCTGCAGACACTCCGCTCCCTGATGAAGCTGAGCCAGTGCCTGAGCATGCATCTTCCTGAAGTAAAATGTCAAGCAGGACACTGGACATGGAGAGCGCATCGCTATTTTGAGCATCCATTGGAGACTCAGCCTGGAGACAGGAGAGGAGGGAAACAACAGAAAATTACGGTCATTTCATCTCCAGTTCCTCACATTTAGTATTAATCCACCTCACTCGGTATTCTGCTAAGCTTACACTGCTTTTGTTTGTCAATGTAAACAGCTACAAGCACTGCTAACCCTCATTAAAAGTTGGCTTGAAGAACTTCAGAAATTAATGTTGATGAAGAACTTAATAGAATACTTCATAATACAAGAACTAGCTTCAGATATATACTCAGTGCTTTCCTGAACTAATGCCTGCTTTGCCTTCATGTTCAAATAATGATGATGAAATTACAGAAAGTAATATTTCGCATGTTTCTGAACAATGGGAAATAGCCTTTTGAGGGAATTCAAAAGGATTTCCCATCCAAACTGTTAGTATTAATTTTCGTTATCAAGATTATTTTAATCCAGTAGTGACATCTCAGAGCATGCAGTTAGTTTCAGGCTGTCACAGATGCACTTCTTTACTACTGCACAAATCCAAAGTGTTTTATGTATGTCACATTATATATTTTACACACATACACACACACATTTGTTCTCAAGATCATGAGGCAGCAAGCACGCAGTAACGGAACACAAAGTTTTTGCATGATGTCAATAAAGTTTGGAAATTTCACTACAAAAGCAGATATAAACATATTCCTTTCTGTTCCCCCTCTGTTAATCCTCATTAAGAATCAGTATCAAGACTATTAGGTAGGTAAAATTAATCATCTAGAAACTAAGTCCCTCAGAGCGGGGAACAAGCAGGTTTGTACGTTTGTCCTTCCTCCTCCACAATTTCCAACGTTGGTACATACTTATGACAAACTATACATCAGCCATCTAACCAGCTGTTAGCATCAGCATTAATTATGCTCTATGACTGATTACTTGGAGCAGGTCAGATCTCAGGCACCCCAGTAAGAGCCACACCTTCCAACGCCTGCTTTCCTTTACACAGCACTGAACTCAAATTGTACTCTGTATGCACTGTCAGACGCAGTGAACAGTTACAACCCTCATTAGAAGAAAAGCCAGAGGCAGGAAGACATTCTAGAAGGCTTAGGTTGCATCCCATCAGTGACATAGCATTCAGAAAGATACTATGCAGAATCTGTAGACAACATTAATATATTAGTCTATATCATCATCATAGAAATCTTTACAGACACAGCACTCCATCCAAGGTTTGTCAGATTGTTAGTTTAATTGATCCATCAAATTTAAACGAGCCAGGAAAAGAAGCTGAAGTTATCAAACAGCTTTGTACCAGCTGTAGGGGACAGTGCACTAAGAAAACAAAATAGTTAATGTCTGCAAGCAATATCTCATAGTTTATTTTGACTACTTGATTGTAAACAAAGATGATTTTCTTTATATCAGCTTCTTTCAAGATCTCAGTTACAGATTGCTTCTCCCTCACTCTCTTCTCAGAAATGCACTACCCAAAAACTTCTTGCTAAACATTAAAAAAAAGTGAACCAATAATTTGAAATCTATTTTAGTGCTTCTCAACGAATGCATTAGCACTCGCATTAGAAGAAGCAGAGCAAAACTGATTTTGGATTCATATTCCTGGGGTAACTTCAGGAGAACAAGATGACTGTCTTAAGCTTTAGAAGTTAACATTATTCAAACAATTGGGTTTCACATTTATTCAGTCTACCAAAATCTGAGTTCACTAATTGCAATAATGACTTCATCTCTAGAGACTACAGACCACTTATTAGAATGTAAGGTCCACAAGTGAGTTTTGAAAACAATAAAGCAGAGAGAAGAAAACAGAAGAGGGAAGAAGATCCACTGTGGGTATCTCTACATTTTAACAACCTTAAATGTTCTTAGAGTGCCAAGATTTTAAAAGGAAAACACGCAAAAAAGAACATCAACATACTTACTGGTAGGGATCCCTTTCCACTACCATCATCAGTTGTCATGATTTTGCCTATGGCTCCTTCCTCATTTAGAGCTCCATGCAAACCCGCAGGAGCTCCGCTTTCCACAGTTTTTGTGTTTTCTTCTAACTGTAGAAGATTCAGAGGAGAGCTACACCTTGATTGGAATAAAGGCGGTGAAGCCTGGTCTTGAGGACCCACTGACTGCGGAGTGCAGGAACGGGATGGCTCGTTTCGTGTCTCTGCAACAGGAACCTTTTCAATTTCTGCTGGTGGATTATAATGGAATGGTTGCGTTGGAAAAAATGCCTGTTGTGGGAAAGGGGTAGGGGTAGTGAATGGAGGCTGCGCTGGAAATACTGTCTGAGATGAGAAAGCAGGATGGGTAGGAAAATTGGCTTGGCTGTGGTAAAGCGTTTGAGGTAAGCTATTGTTCATTTCTGGGTAGACGTAGTTGGGGAGCACAAGAGCTACAACAGGTGTCATAAGGGGGGCAGAAAACTGGGACGGTTGCATAGGGCAAGTATTTCCCGAGTCTGGCAGCTGATTAAAACCAGTGACTGAAGTCTCAGGAGCTGGTGGCACAGTCCCTGCTGCTGCTGGAAAAACAGGAAGTGGATATGCAGGCATAACAGTTGGAAAAGACATCGCTGAATAGCTTGCTTGTGAAGTGTCCGATGGTGACCAAGCAGTAGTATTTAAACCCTGAAGAGGAAAGCGATGGGGGAATTTAGTTCCAGAAGTTGTACTGTCTGAAGACTCCTGTGGTTTAATGCGTTTTGATTTCCTATTTTTCCCACTTTTCTTCCAAGGCTGATCCATTCCAGAAGTTCCATTTCGTTGTCCACGGCCACCTGCAAAAACAAAAACAATGACCAAAAAAAACCCCAACAAAAACCAAGAACAACAAAGAAAACATGCATCAGGAAGGAGCCTACTGGCAATGTGATGGATCCCCTACACTCTGGCATCCCTAGAAGTTGCTCAAAACTGTTGTTCTGGATTTTAAGTCTGTCCACTCAAATGGAAGGATGGGGGAAGAGATCAGATTCACTTTTACCTCTAGCAAAAGAGCTGAGCAAACCAGGCAAGGTAAACCATGATGACATGACTTAGGGGAAAGAAAATAAACAATAAGAAAAGAATAGATGTGGATCAGTTAAGGCTCAGATGTGCCACCCAATCAGTACAACAGTGCAAAACAGTGGCTCCCAGAGGAGCTGCTTGAATCAATACAGCAATTGCAATGAAAGCAGTAGAGGACACAAATGAAAGCGCTTCTGGAGAGTTAGAGTTGTACAGGTCTGTAACCGAAAAGGTGAAGAACTAAAAGCAGCAAAGAGAAAGTACACAAAATTTTCTTTTGTGAGCCAAAAGAGCATTGAAGCTTCATAAATTCTGCAAGAAAAGTACAGAATCTTATTTCAGAAGTCAGCACCAAGCAACTCTTCCTTAGGTGAAGGCTATCAGTTCATCTCTACAGACATGAATAAATCCATCAGTCATCTTTTATGTTTAAGTACTTAAATATTTAAAAGCTGTTCCAACTTTTAGTTTGCGTAAGGCTTATTCAGTCTGAAAGTTTATCAAGGATAGAGAACACAGAGCACTTCGGTGTTCCAGAACATGCTTCCTAAATCAAGGACTTGCATATCTCTATATATATCAAAAATGAAAGATACAAGAATTGGCAAGAAAATGCTTCTCAGTATCTGACTTCTCTTCCAAACAGAACCAAAATGGAAACATAGTCAGGTCAGTACCAAGCACTCTTGAAATGTCATCTTGAGTTCCTAGCCCTAACAGAACAAAACAAAAAAACTTACTGTTACACATAGCCTGTTCCACTTCCACCCCCCACTGACATTAACTTAATGGCAACCATACAGTTAAATTGTTTCACCAATGACACAATAGTGAAATGGGAGTAACTGGCTGTAAATAAAAGCAGCTGGAAAAAAGCACTGAAAGATGGAAAGGCAGAAGGATCAGAAAAGCAAGAGAATACAAGCACAGACAGGAGAGAAAACATTCTGAAGTTGTATTTGCCTCTTGAAAGTAGATGCATAACAATAATAATATTATGAACTGATAGCTAGGACATTAGTAGCTATTGAAACATTAACTATTATATTTAAAGCTATATTCCACTCAATCTTCAAGGCAAGGCCGTCACCAGAATTTTTCTATAGACTTAAACATAGCATGTGACTGCCACTGGTCACAGTGGCTCCCTAACACTTAAAAATGCAAATATCCTCTCAACAGGATTCACTTCATACACAAAGACAAAAAAAAACAAACACTATTGCCATACCACGTTCACCAGGCCTTCCTTTAGGTTTATCTTGTAAGTAGTAATTGCAGTGGGACTGGAAGATATTGAATCTCTTGATTTCTTTGAACTTATTCAAAAAGCTTTGCTCTTCTTTTTGTGTATGCACAGCAAGGACTTCCTTTGTAAGTCCCAGTTTTTTAAATGACTCTTTTTCCTGATTTACATGCGTAGAACTCGATGGAGGGGCTGGAAGTTGGCTATCTAAGAGTTCTGCTCCACTTGGACCATCTTCTATCATTTCTACAAAAACAGAAGGAATAAAAATCATGATCAAGAGAATTGCATATGCAATTTAAGCTACTATAAACTGCAGTAACTTCTCGTTGAAAGTTTAATATAATAAGTTCTGTCTCTATTTATTCAATTTCCATGAGAACACCTTAGCTATAAATAATGCAAGTTAACAAATAGGTACCAGGTGTTCTCATTTCTGAGGTTATACTTGCTGGAAATCAGTATTTTGGCAATGACATACTAGCAGAAATCATACCTAATTCAGGTTGTGGTTTTTTGTCTCCAACATGAACAATGGTGCTACTGTAGCTGCACTGACTTGTGAGTGATACAACACTTTCAGGTTTGCCAGGTAAGGCCAAAGAAGTTAAGTGAGCACCAACTACTGGGGGACCACTTGCTTTACCAGACGCCTTCAACACAGTAGAGTCTACTCAAAAAATAGAAAAATAAAGGAAATTACATATGTAAATAAGCAATATGTTACTAAGGTTGCAGAACAGCAAAGGCTTACTTGTGCTTAGCAAGATAAAAAGTGAATATTTCAATTGATCTCACATATTTTACCAAGAACGTCTGAGGAATAGAATAACTTCCGGGCAAATAAATCTAATTCTCTACTCTCAGATACAGTTAAGCCAAGTCTTTCCAGCGAAGGACCTCTTGATCTTTCCTAGACATTACTCTTCTTTGATGGTTTGACTTTGGAAGCTTCTAGCCTTCACCAGCCTAAGATGAAGTCCCTCCAGTTCCCATCTTGCTTTATGTTAGTCTCTCACATAGCTGGTTATTAGCTCTAAGCACCTGCCTATTTAAGTTCTCTCACTTGAAAGCTGTACACAATGCTCCAGCAGAGGTCACACATCAATACCTCATGAAGCATTCTCAAAACATTCTTTCTCCAGTATAAACACTCAACAAAACTCTCAGTGCAAGACTAGAAGTTAGCCTTCTCATGACTGTTTACCTGGTCATTCACAGTTACCTGTGCAACAAGAAGCTAGCAAATCCCCACCCTTGCCTATCAACTAGAACCACCAGAGACTACAGATGACAGCAGAAGCTGTGTGCCTAAGCTACACGTCGTTATTCTGACAAGAAGAAACAGCAAATAAATAGAGAAACTAATATAGAAATACCTCCTAAGGGTTGTATAGCATTAACAGATGCTTTTTGCTCATGAACACCAGAATTCACACTTGATGAAGGTTCACATTTTCTTTTTGCTGTACCAGGCACATTACAACTCTCCAAGTATCTAAAATAAAGGAATTTAACAATATTAGATGTGTAAACCTGAAGTCTAGAGCTCAATGGTAATTTACACTCCAGTTGCTTACCTGATGACGCTATCCAAGCAGCTAATCTGTTGGTAAGAATATACAGGTTGTTCTTTCCATGCCAACTCCTCAGTAGCCACATTTTTAGGAGTAGCTGTAGTATCCTTTCCTATTACTTCTTTCGCCTGACCACCAGGACCATTTTGTTTTTCTGTTAAGAGATTGTTATTATACAATCACAGCATTAATTCTTTGAATTGCCCCTAAAAGTTTCAGTAAAACAGCAGAAGTTTTCTTTTATGCATATTTCTTAACAGAGCAGAAGTTTCTTAACAGTGTAGAGCAACTAAGAAATTTGTGTCCTAATATATGAACATTCTGTAAATAGCCCCCCTGTTCTTAGGAATTCTTGAGGAATAAGATTCAGTTAAGCTGATGGAGCCAAAGGGGACAGATATAGAATCATAGAATCATAGAATCATAGAATCACCAAGGTTGGAAAAGACCTAAAAGATCACCCAGTCCAACCGTTCACCTGTTCCCAATAGCTCCCACTAAACCATGTCCCTCAACACAACATCCAGTCTTTCCTTGAACACCCCCAGGGTCGGTGACTCCACCACCTCCCTGGGCATCCATTGCAGTGCCTGACCACCCTTTCTGAAAAGTAATACTTCCTCATGTCCAGCCTGAATCTCCCCTGCCGTAGCTTGAAGCCATTCCCCCTGGTCCTATCACTGATGACACGAGAGAAGAGGCCGACCCCCAGCTCACTACAACCTCCCTTCAGGAAGTTATAGAGAGCAATGAGGTCTCCCCTGAGCCTCCTCTTCTCCAGGCTGAACATTCCCAGCTCCTTCAGCCTCTCCTCATATGGCCTGTGTTCCAGACCCCTCACCAGCTTTGTTGCCCTCCTTTGAACACGTTCCAGGGCCTCAATATCTTTCTTGCAGTGAGGGGCCCAAAACTGGACACAGTACTCGATATAATATAATATATATATAATGGATACAAAAGAAAAGATATCATTAGAGCTGAAACCCACTCACAATGAGAACAAGTGTAGTGTACAAAAGTTATAAAATAAGCTGTTACTCGTGTCTACAAAATTTAAATTGCACTAGGAAGATTTTCATTTATTGACTTAAAAATTCCTGAAATTTTGTGAAAATGGGAATAACAACATCCTCCATCTAACAGGAAAAAAGGTATTTGACTTATGAGCTACAATTAAGGAACTTAAAAGCAACAGCTCTAGGACATCTTCACTGCATGTTACATCCTTACCAACAGCTAGGTCACATGTTTTCCTGAACACAGAGGAGAGATTAAGGACAATATAAAGAATAACAGCGTTTATTTATTAAAATTGATTATAATGAAACTGGAAAGCTGCCTACTCATGTCACATCATGCACCATTGCAATAAACTAGCACTTAATTAACTTACTAGTAATACCTTACCTGCAGAAGGTTCTCTCTTATGTTCTACTTTTCCTTTATTCTCACTGAAAATATGCTGTCCTTTAGTTTTGACCTTACGGGCATCTTGACTTATCTGGAAGGAGGCCATTAAAAACACTCATATGAAATTCTCACACAAGACATTGTGAATAGTGCTTCCTAATTTTCTACATAGCTTGAAAGTAATTTATCTGTGAAACAAAAGTTCCAGAAGCTTAATTTGCTCAAGACGCTAATGTATGACTGAAAGGCAGCAAGTGACCACGTTGGCAAGCACAGCAGTCTGCAACGCCTGATCACAAAAGCATAAATCAAGTTCAGAAGGTTCAGCCTGAGTGATGTAACTAAGGAAAAATTGAAATTTCAGAAATCAACTGCAATTCAGCAGGGCTTAATGGGAATGGCAAAAAGATTTCACATCTTAGAAAATGGTACAGTTCCTTTGATTGCAACCACTATTCAATACACTGCTGCCCAATTCACTGCCACTGCCACTCTCTCTCTTTTTTTTTTTTTTTAATGACATTAATTTGAACAAAAATTCTCAGTATCAGTTGGATACAACGTCCTGCAAAGTTAAATTTTAAGCAAACAACTTCCACTCCATATTATACAGTACATTTTCTGCAGCATAAAAAGGTCACAGGCTATCATTTTTGTATGCACTTATTATACGCATTTTATCATTGAAAATAAGAGATATAAACTTTCTCCTCAGAAGAAACTGCTTTAAATTTATTTATTTATTTATTTAGCCTAGAAGCAAGCATATAATGGCCATCACAATGTGCTAACAGTGTCCACTTTCAAACCTGTAATTGTGCTTCGGTACCCTGAGACTTGATCTACAGAGCAAATATTTATTCCTCCTGACAGAAAGCTTTTTTCCATATTAAACAAATCACAACACTTTCCTTATACTTCTTCCCATCCCAAATCAAAGAGAGTTACACTAAAAGTTGAAAACCACTCTGTTTTGTATCCCATACTTGAATTTATGAAAATAGAAAACTTACTGTTTTATCCTTTTGTGTGTCATCATTATTATTTCCTGTGCTGTCACTGGAGGATGCCACACTCATTAAGTGTTCATGTGAGCCATTGCTACCTAGACTTCCATAGCCACTGGATCCACTGTTGTGTACAGGCTGTTAAAAACAAGAGAATATACAGCCTCTGCACCAGCTCTCAACAAAAATGAAATTGTTATTAATAGTTCCATGTGAGGTGAAAGGGATTTTAAGTTTTTTGTGCACTTTTGTGTTTGTTTATTTATTTTTTTTAATTGTTTGTATGAAGATGCCATAGCTGCATTAAATCCTTAAATACCAACTGGAGCTTTAACACACTTAAGTGAGTCATGCTTGGCAATCAAATGCAAATAGTTTCCAGGACTGTAGCCAGAAATCCCAAAGCAGTGGAACAGTGGAAGATAGTTAAACAAAACATCACATGAAGATAAACACCCTTTCTTCAGTGGGAATTTAAAGTAGTGATACGAAAGCACATGCTGTACCTGTAGTAATAGCCGATATATTTGCTCCGTGATCTCCTGAACGCTGGGGTGAAGGATTCTGTCCTCTGTGTAGTTGGGAGCAGCAAAAACATCCTCATTTAAGGGACCCCTGCATAAACCAAACAGATCCCATTCCATTACAACCGCAAGTACTTGAACTGCAGAGAGACTACATCCTCAATTTGCCATCTATATATAGCAAACAGGATCTGACCATTATTCTGTTGCATCTGAGGCCACTGAATTTGACAAAATGCACATCCTTACTCACTGTGAGTATAGCTTTTCTCCTAAGGCAACTCTTGACAGTACTGACACAATACGAAACAGTTCAAATTTCCTTTATTTAAAGCAGCTGCTACATTATTAACCCAAATATAAGAAGGAAACAATTTATGTGGAGGGGGAATTTTTCCCCTCTCTAAAACCATTAAGGCTTTTTTAAGTATCACTAAGTAGGCTGGAGGGAAAAAAAATATCATGGCTATTGACTTACGTCCTAACTTTGTGTCTTCCAATGATAAATGAAACCTTTCGACTCCAAGGATTGATGAAACTGGACCAGCTAGTGTCCATGGTTATATAATCTCCATTTCTAGTGCAAAACCTGATTGGTGAATAGTCAAAAGGCTGTCCTCCATATTGAAGTACTGTTAAGAATGATCCAAAAAAAAAGTCAGTTTAACATTTGCAGCTCTAATTAATGATTCAGAGTTAATACGACTGAAGAGACAGCTTTATATTTTCATAACTTAATAAATAAACATTGCAAGAATGGCTCGCTTTCTCTTCATGGACTGCTTATGAAATGAGGAAGGCTACACTTTAAGGTACGCCAACTTCTATCATGCACACTCAGGACAATTTTCTTCATGTATGAAAAATTCGCACACAAATTCGCTTACAGCAGATATGCTTCACCTCAAAAATGAAAGTGAGGAACTGAATTTCATCAATTTGCATAAAGAATCAAGTTGTAGAGTAAAGGAATACTTCAACATCTAATTACTTGAAGGTAAAAGTGTATCTTCCTTTTTCGCTTAGTCCTTTTCAGATGCCACTTTTAACTTTCAGGTTTAAAAAAAAAAAAAAAAAGATATTTCTTCCACAGCAAAGAGATTACATACTTTTTTTGTGAATTGCTAGCATTAAGGGTCTGTCATTTGGGTGAAGGTGCACCAAAACTGGTGTTCCTATTAAGTCCTGAGGTAGGTATCCCAACAGAGGTACAGCTCTGGAGAAAGAAAAACAAAGAAAAAAAAAAAAACTTATTTATATAAATCAAGTGAAATAAATGTTTGCTGAATCTTTAAAATGTTTCCATTTAAGTTTTATTTACTCTTTTCCCCATAATTTTAAGTTTAAATTTTGGGAAAAGCAGTGCCAGCTCAGTAGTAACACTCTTTGAACAGGACTGTTTTGGGGTTTTTCGTTTGTTTGTTTTTATTTGTTTCTAACATTACAAAACAGTGCTCAGACCAAAGTAAAGGAATCTGCTACAGCCGTTCTCCTGTCTTTTCTATGCTGCCTAGATCTACAGGCTGAGTACTTACCCTAATTTTAAAAGAGCATTAATAAAATTTAATCTCATAAAACTCCCGTGAAAGTAAATAGTACCCCAATCTATGGGCTGCATGCCAAGGCTAAGGATCACACGGGATTACTGCAGCTGAATCAAGCAGGGCAGTTGACTAGGGTACAAGAAAACTTCTTCACAGGCAGGTTATGAGTTTAACTCTGCAAGGAAACAAGCTTATTTATTAGAATAAATAACTGAAAGTAATGTTCTTGCATTCCTTGCATTAGAAGTAACTTCTAACGATGAGATGAAATCACTTATTGGATTTATTGAGCTTTCAGGAACAAGGGATAAATCCCAGCATTGAGATGCTTTTATGGTAGCCAACTTCGTTTTCAGTAAGAAAAGAAAATAGAATAAAACCCTACACTGTCACAAAGAAAGTCCCATGTGAAACAAAGGAAAGAGAAAGCAAAAGGAAGGAAAAACAAAGCCTGTGTTTTCAACTCAAACAAGCAAACTTGCTCTCATGTTCTTATAAAATATTATGATATTTCAAAGCACAGCCTTTTCCTTCAAAGCTTTAGAATATTGACGACACCTCAGCCCCCTATGCCTTCAACTGTGTTTTTCAAAGTACTATCTTCCATTCTTCATAGACTTCCAATTTCTGTCACCCACACCTTCCAAAAGGTACTGGAGAAAAGCAGTCCAGAAAACTAAAGGAAAGTTTGCTTTGCATCTTAGCTCCAGAGCCTCTGTGAATGACTTAAATTCACATCTATTGTATCTGGCTATACTGAACTCTCATCAGTTTCCAAGACCATCAGTGCAACACAAAAGCTTCAGCCAGTAGAACCTGAGTAGTTTAATAGTAAACATAGAATACAATGTTTGATGATTTTCTTTGTTGTTTTTTGTTTACATTGATGTAATGTTACATTCTATAGACATAAAAAAAAAAAAAATAGTAGCCTCATTCAGATAGTGCTTGCTGAAACGGAACATTTTCCTGTCTGTGGATTCCATTCTTTGAATTTATTTTCTGGATTTGCCCAAGATGGAAAAATAGAAGAACAAGTTGTTAGCAGGCAAACACAGATCTCCACTTCAAGACCACAGTGGAAGTGCTTTCATACTTTATTTATTTACTTAAGTAACTTACCTTTCATCTACATCTTGGAACAAACAGGTTGGTGTGTGTGTTGTTGTAAAAATTCTTTTGTCTGGAGGAATTCTGGGTGCTGAGAGAAAAATAAGAGGACAAGTTTATTGTGCATGCATATATTACCTAAACTGTATGTTTTAATTAAATGCTGAGTAAAACCTGCCTAAGAGCATATAGAAAAGCATGTTGTTATCTCACAGCCTCTCAGCAAGGGCAAGAACAGCAAGAACAGAACCAATTATCATGTACATTAATGAAATCACTGATAGGTACTCAAATACACTAATTTTCTTTGGCTGAAATTCAGTTTGCCAAACTGCACAGAAGTTCCTGCAGCACAATACTGAACAGTTGTAGATTTCATAAAACAAAATAACTGTTTGTCCATTGAAATTATTACCTTCATAACCAGAATGCACTTTTTCTGCAAGCAGCACACAGCAAAGTTGGTCCTCTGCTACTTCTGGATCTTGTACTTTGATAAGGTAAGGAGTCATCCGAAATGGGTGATAGCAAATCTCATTTTCACGCTCCTTCCCTGCACTAATAATTAAACAGAGATTATTATTTGCACGGATTCATCTCACACTGAACAAAGCTTTATCTACTGCAATTTCCTTAGTTACAAAAGGGCTGTATAGTAGCTCCTAAAACAGCACCCAAGAATTTTGCTTCCTGAATCTTCAGTAGAACAGAACCTAATTCAGACAGCATCCTTTGCATATTGACTGCAATAATGCATTCCTTGTCATCTTTACTGCTTCAAATAAGACCCACAGGTGCTTTAAATGGAAACTGCACGGAAAAAGAAAAGTCCACCTCTTATGATAGATTGTTTTATTGATCCAGTAATCTTAATCTGATATTATTCATCACTTTAACCTTCACAGAGATTGATAAAGTTTTATTTTATGAAGCCTGTTATAACCCTTCAGTTAATAATTAAATACCTTCTTTTACTCAGTCTTTGGGCTTATTTAAAAAAGAACAAAGTCTCAGAAGTTTTACCTACAGTAACAGTCTCTGACCAAGGAATAAGAATGAAAACAATACCCAGTGATTAAAATATATATATATTAGCAATGGGTATTACTGCATTATGAATTTACAGAGTAAAAACTTCTGGATCAATGTTATTTAGAAGAAAATACATCTACAAAAATACCAGCGGTACTTTTACTTGGAGTTTGTTTACAATATACTAATACCTTAATTATCAGGTATTTATTTACTCAAAAAAAATAATTCAGTAATTGATAGCAGTTCTGGAAAGAGAAACTGGGACCTGTGAGGCAACAGATAGCAAAAAGAAAACTAAAAGAACTGTACCACCTATAGATGACAAAGTTACCCTCATCTATCTTTACTGGGCATTTGAGATAAATTTAATGCACCATTACTCTCACAGAATGAAAGAATCAGTAGCAGGTGCTGAGCACAACAGTTCAACTAACACCCAATGAAGGCTTTCTCCACAGCTGTGAAAGATACTGTATCAGCTCTATTTAGGGTGCAAAGGTCAATATTCAGACTGATTAACTTTTAAGGTGTAACTTCCTGCAGCCACTTAACAGTTCTCTGCGTAGCTTCTGGAACAGCAGGATGACAAGCATGTGCTTGGCCTTACGTTCACATTATGGGATAATAAGAAACTTGCACACTGTGATTCTTATAAAGGTCGAATACTTTGTAATGCATAGTTTCATAACAGCAAGTCTGTTATAACTGTCTTACCTGATGCGACAGAAAAAAGATTTCTCTTCCATGCAATCTTGGGTGGAAGACTCTAGAATTATTGAACATTTTATGAAAAGTTACAAATTACTATGATATTATGATGTTTAACACAGTAACTTTTCCCCAATAACAATAAAAGAGATGTAGCTTGTATCCCTCCAAAAGTTTTAGGTTCCTGAAAGCCTTTGATGTTATGCTTTTCTGAGACTGGCATGTGAATCACAGCTGCTTGCTTTGGCAAAAACACACCTGAACAGTTCTATGGTCTGAACTGTTTACCCATCTGCTTTTTTTCCACTAACTTACAGCATTGACCAAAAAAAGTGAGTTTCCACAACTCCCCAGGCTGGACTTCTTTCCTAGAAAGGTCCTAGAAAGGACAGTCAGAGCATCAAATACATTTGCAAACCTCCAGCAGTCCAGCAAAACCCAGGCAACTCTCACAGCTTTCCTCCCAACTCCTTTTAAGTCTATTTCCCTCCTTTTTCAAAAGTGGCCACAGACTGACTTGCAAGGCACACTCTGGTCTTTCAAAGACCTCACTGTGCAATACTTCTAGATATAACATAGGATATGGATGTTGGTACATGAGATATGGTACATACTTCTATTTAAACTGCATTTCTGATATATGAAGCTATATGCAAGCAAAAAAAACTATAGAAAAAAATTAGTAAGTTACGTAGGCCACTTGAACAAGCAGGATCAAATGGTCAAAACTGAACCTCTTCTGAGCCAGAGGCTGGACCAGAGACTTCAAAAGGTCCTTTCTGACCTAGTTAGTGTACAAACTACACCGTTGTTAATTGTTTCCTCAAAGTTAATACGGTTCACATTCTGACTTAACTTCATAGACTTAGTCTACAGGGATTGGAATTTCAAACATTTAGAGCAGAACTTGAAATACAAGTGTTTGCTTAAAATAGTTGGCAGCTATCTTTCCGTTCCTAACAGCTGTCTGTGCACAAGTAAAACAACCCTCTCACAAACAAATACTAAGTGACTTAAGAGATATAACCCCCTTCAGCATTAACATACCTGATATCCTTTTCCCAAGGCTAAAATAATTGATACACAAATTACATTTGATAAGTGCTCAATGATATTAGCTGTAGTACATCTTTCTATACAATTACCAAGGTGTCCAGTATACAAATCATAACCATTATAGAAGTAAGAAGGCAGAATATTATCTTTCTTTTATCTAAAGATTTTTAAAAAAAGAATTCTGGTCATTTGATTGCAAGAAAACTGTGGAAGACAAATCCACTTTAAGCATGAATACCTACTTTAATTTCAATCATCAGTTGGATGAGAGGAGCCCAGGAACCAATGAATAATAGCAATCAGAAGACTTTCAGCCAACAGACAAGCTCTTCTGATATATAAAGGCACGTTATACGTGCCGTATGTTCAGACATGTTCTAGAAATGCATGTGTGCTATACCCTCACTAAGTAATAGGAAAGGATGAAAGGATATTTTAAAAAAGTTATCATGACTGAAGATTAGAGAAATATCTGCTGTTGGGACCACTCACCAGCTCTGCTGCAAATATTCCAAGATGGTAATCTGTATGGGGTAGTAGAAGTATAGAAAACACTGACATCCTGAGGTGCCAATAACTCCACAAATTTGGCATTTTTAAAATAACCCCTCTTACAGCGAAGAATCGAAGCAGCTTGATCAGAGATGTACACAATTTTCCCAGTAATCAAAGATACGGCTACAGCAAACATATCCTAAGAAGAAAAACCTCAAAATTAGGCAGTTTAAAAAACATTCTTCAATGTATTTATTGTTTAAACAATAAGATAAAAGCAAGACATCAAGATAAAAGTACGAAGTTCAAAATAAAAAGGAAATAGAATAAAGACAGTTAAACCACATCTATTTATGGAGCAAGAAAATACTTCTCTTGTGAATTACATACATACTGTATACACTTTGAACTACGCAGTAATACACTCTGATTTTCCCAGGTTACATGCCCTAAACATCATACAAAGGTGTAAGGAGCTCAAACTACATGAATTGCTTTCACAACAGTACTTGTGTTACAGCCGTATTTGACACTGATGAGATGCAGCTGCTTTGTGAAGAGTTGTTTATGTTAGTTTGTTCATTCACTACATAATGAAAAAAAGTGCTCTAAACCATTTGGTAAAAATGACGAGCAGATAGGTGGGAAAAAAGCCCCAAACATATACAAACTTACTTGTATTATTTCTTGTTGCTTTTCTGCTCAACACAGAAGAGTTTCCTGCGTCACAGACTTTAGTGCCTACCCACTGTTGCTGTACACAAGCCTAAGAACTGTCGTCACACTGCATTTACAAACTCGTGCTTTGGATCAATTGATGTTTTGTTCAAGTTACACTCCAGACTACTCTATTTGTTTTACCTTCTGGGCAACTTTGTTAGTCATAGGTTCAACAGAAAAATGACTTCACACTAGGAAACACCCTCCCACTACCTGTTATTTTATTAATTTTGGAATTACATAGATTCAGAAAGAGACTTCAGGGAAAAAAAAAAAAAGTGGAAGGCACTCAAAGTTTAGATGTAATTATTGTTGACTTCCATAATAATCCTAAAACACTGAAAATGGGGAAAATAATCATTCTGACTACTTCTAAAAACCTACACTGATCACCACAGCTGCTCTTATCTAAGAGACAGCAACACTGGTTCACAGAGTAAGCTTGTGCCAGTTGCAAAGACCACAGAAACCACAACAGAGGACTCAGCAACTCACGGACTCAAACACTTTGATCACTTTCCAGTCACATAAGCACAAATAACAGTTAAAGCATCACACAGCTCCTACACAACTGACAGCTCAAATGATTCATTATGTCTCTAGACTAAGCTTTGTAATGAGATATGCTGTAAGTGCATCTCCTAAGCATCCTAAGAAGAAAACTAATCATTTACACATTTTCACAGCACATTACATCACATGGATATTCAGATATATCACACCATTACCCCTAAGCAAGAGATACAATTCATATGACCAAATGTTTAAGCTACTTATTTCCCATCCATCTAACTGACAGAAGAAAAAAAAAAAACATTAAGTGCTCAAAATTTCTCCTTTTCACATTCACTAGAAGGCAACAGCCATCTTCTTCAGATTATTGGCATAGTCATCAACTTCTACCTTGTAAAAAGGAGGCATGCTTGAGAATTCCTATTCCAGAAAACGTTTTACACACACACTGTATAGTTGTGCCAGCATACTCACTGCATTTTTCATTATGTATTCTGAGGTTATAGTCTCAACTTCTTCCACTGTATAGGATGACACATTGAGTCCAGAAGGCTGGGATTCATTAATCATCAGCAACTGGTAATATTCCTCATTGGCTACATCAAGAACATAAGAACATTAAACAATTTATCTTCAGAAGTAGAAAATCACATAGGTATGTAGACAGCCCAAAAAAATTTGACTTTTTTTGGCACAAGCACAGAATGGGCAGTTGGAAAGTCTAGGGTACTATTCCAAATGAGTTACTCCACAGTGGAATTTCCTCATCAGTAACCCATGCACTTTTGTCCATCTTAAGACAGTTACATACACACTGCATTATATTTCTGCCTGTTTGACAGTTTCAAAATTTGAAGATAAATAACAACTTTGCAAACAATTTTACAACAAATACCAGTAAAACACCAAGCACTTGGCAAAACTGTCTTAACTCCCAAGTAAATATTTAATTTTACCCAGATCAGTTTTATTTAAGCAGTATCATATACTTGTTTACCTTTAACTTGTTTAATGCTTTTAAGGGCATACTTCAATGCTGTTAGGACGCTAGATTTGCCTTTAATTCTCTTTTCAGCAGGAAGGTGAGCTTTCAGCTCTTGTAATGTCTTCAATAATTCCTTCTGTGTTTTGGCTTTAGTAGACTGCTCGCTGCTGTAAGATTAAAGACAAATAATAAAAAGTTACTTGGATGCTTGGAGTAATACATCATCCTCATAGAAACTCAAATACACTGACAATTTTCACACAGTTACATATGTGCAGCTGGCCACATTAAACTTTTCTATTAGTTAATATCAACATTCAAAACTTGTAGTAATTCTTAAATTAGCTACAATCGCTTCAAATGGAAGATTTATCACAACCAGAAATCTTATCATAAAACACATATACTGCCTGTATGTGAAATGGTACATTTATACACACATATACACCCAAGCACCAGTGAACTTTTTTTTTTTTTTGCACCAGTCTCCCTTCCCCTTTTTTTTTTTTTTTGTGTGTGATATATCCCTTAGTTCCTTTAAAATTCAAACTCTCAGAAATGTTCATGGACTTCAAAGTAGAGAAGCAGGAGGTCCACTCAAGTCTTCACCTCCTGTTCGAGCAGGTTCTCATAGGAAAGGTCCCTGAAAAGGGAATGGCAGTGGGAGAGCATCAAGTTAACAAAACAAATGGAGAAATGCTTGGAACAATGTATTCCAGTTAAGCATGGCAATACATTAAGTAACATAAGGAAGGCTGAGTAAATATGAAGGGTGAAGAATCAGAGGAGGCAGCTGGAGACAGATATGTTATTAACATTTCTCAGGTGCATGCTCAAAAGTGTTGTCTCAATGCAGAAGGTCAAGCTACAGCAATAATCAGTGCTAACACTAGAAAATTGCCGTCCTTTGAAATCCTTGGTATCTCTTATTATTTAAGAATGATGATAAAATCAAAAAGGAAAAGGAGGGAAGAGAAAGGATGGAGAGGATGACAAAGATGGGTGACAAGTGGAAAGGAAGCAGTTAAAAAAAAAAATAATCACCTCATCTTTGTCATTGAAAGAAATTTTAAAAGTTAATCAGTCACAACAATTTAGAGGATTTCAAACCTTTTCTTAACTCTCCCTAAAAATCAATTCATTCCCATGGAAAGGAAGGTCTTCTATTACCACACAGTTGTCATGGCTGGCACTGTCCGTGGAGTTGCCCAAAGGATCACTGTAGAAACAGAGTTCTTGGCAACTGCACTACCCTTTCTGAAGCATTCAATAAGTGGCCTCAGCTTCCAGGTTACTTTCAGGAGGATTTCAGATTTTTTTTTTCCCCCCAAGAAATTTGAGTTCTTCAGGTAGATGAACTCATCTGACAGGTTTGGGGTATACTTCACACTAAATGCTTAGAAGGTGAAAAAGCTGCTTGTACTGCCATATACAGTCATAGTTCTTGTTTGCACCATAACACTATGATAAGCATATAATTCAGTTACTCACTGGCTATTTTATACTGAGAAATAAATGCAAGGGATAAGAGAATATCATATTCCCTTGCGAAACTTAATATTCACCCATACACTAAAATCACATGTACAGTATGGCTTGATGGTATTAGATTGATGCAATCTAGCAGGGCCTTTTCAATAGAAGAACAATCTATGCTAACAGCAAGGAGGAAGAGAAAAAGAAAGACTGAAATAACAGAGCATACTGCTGTTTTTGTATCCTCTGGGCTTGCTTCTTAAGTGGTCAAGAACACTTCTGGCAGAAAAGCTTTTCCAAATTAGCCTCTAGCAGTAACAAATGCAGAAGGCTGCCTCCTTGGAAAATCAGTTATGAAATTCAAAAATGTTTTTCTGAAGATCTGTAGCATCAGGCACAGTAGCCAGCCACAGAGAAGGTTTGACTTGAAGAATACAGAATCAGCAAATTCTACAAAAATAAGAGCTTTCTGTTTTGCTTTATGCGCGCAGTCCAAAAGGTAGTTACATGGTACAAACATTGAATCCAAAGCCCAGAAGTCTTTGAATCAAAAGTTAAACCTACAGTTTATCAGACTATTGTAGACATCTCTTTCAAGACCATCTACAGGTGTGCTCAGTCAACTGAGGTCATCCCTCTCCCATTCCAGAAAGACTGAAGATGATCAGATTGTGCTCTGAATTAACTGTGACTGGCAGTGGGGGAAATATTGTATCATCTGGATTTCTGAGCAAAGAGTCATTAACAAAGATTGCTGTTTTTTTGTTTAAAGAACAAGGAAATTGAGTCAACAGGAAACAAAGATTAAGAGATGTTTTTGGTTCACTCTGTTCTTGATAATGAGCAAAAAGTGAACTCCAGACACAATTTCCACACAGAGATAAAGTATGGAAGATTTCCTTATGTCCACAAGGCAGGCATTATGTTCAGCTCACACCAAGTGGTGCAAAGAAGTATTTTTCATTTATCACATCTTCAGGATCTGTATCAGGCAGAAAACTTTCAGGTAGGTATATACAGATGGGGATCTTAACATCAGTATGCTAAAGCTGTCCAGCTTCCTCTGTGAAGGATCAGGTTTTGGTCTCCTAATCAGAGGCTGACTTAAAAAACAAACAAACAAAATAAACCTCAAGAAGAGCAGGACACTCTGAAGTGTCCAAATTAGAGCCTTCAATGACACCAGGTTTCTCAAGTCTGTCAAGATCAGAAGCAAAGTTCATACTGCACTCCTGCAGCAGGTCTGCCCTTACAGGCTAAAGGCTTGAATCCTGGTGAGTGGAACACGGAGAGGCAGACGATATGGCTGCTGGACACCAAAACATACCCAACTCAATGAGTGAATTCCAATTTTAAAATGCTACTAGGTTGTTTCCAGGCAAGGGCTTCAGACTAAAATCTGAAGAGCAGAAAAATCCAAGAAAAGTCAAAAAAAAAAAAAAAAAATCCAAAATCCATGCTTGAAGTGAACCACAAAAATAAAACTGAGGCTAAGCTACCAAGTCAAAAAAGGCTAAGAAACCTTACAAGTCATCACACAACTTGTGTGAAACAGCTACAAAAAGCTCTGATTCGATCAAGTGGTTAGGAAGACATGCTGCTGATTGCAGAAAGGAAGAGAATCAAAGACAGGACACCATCTCGTACGTGTACTCCAATTTTAGCCAAAGCAACATCAACTCACAAAACATCAACAACCACCCAGCATATAGCATCTGTTTTTACATTTTTAGCATCTGTTATTACATACAAGCAAATTACTGAAAATATATGTACATTTACCTGCATCCACTGCTAGACTGATTGTGTTCAGAGTTCGCAATCATCAGACTAAATGCATTTGAGCTTGAACTAAAATAAGGAAAGGCAAAGAGATTAAGATCAGTAAACTTTACATAACAGTTACTTCATTTTAGTTTTACAGTTGCTTAGCCACAAATGTCTAGAACAAAAGTCAAACTTTCAGAGTCTACTTATAAGTATGGAAACCATACTTGCTACACATTTAAGAAGGTACCTCTTGCTCTGTATTTCCTCTATGCACTATGCTATTACTTCAAAGATGAAAATAGCACACATCCATCCTGACTCTTAACAACAGACTTACACTTTTTGCTATGTAATTACAGGAGTCGGTTTACCAAAAGAATGCATAAATAAAGCCAAAGCAATGATGAGAAAGACAACATACAGATCAAGTTGGATGTGTGAATCACTGCACTCTATGAAGTGTAATACATTACATAATGTGCATTATAAAAGATGACTGGTTAACAAAAGTGAACTTTATTACTTTATTACTAACAACTACCTTTTATGACAGTCTGAAGATTCCATGAGCATTGCTGAATCTTTCCCATTTTCATCAGATTCATGGCCATGAGAATCATGTCCACTGGAGTAGTTTTCATTCGTCTCATTTCCACTGAAGTCATTTCCACTGGATCCACTGCTCATCTCAATATCTTCCTGAAGAACTTCAGGAGAGTGTTCAGGTTTTGGCTGAATTTCAGAATCTTCAGCAATCATCTGGCTATGGTTACTTGCCAGTCCAGAATACTCACTCATTTTCTGTTGCTCTTTTAAAGAGAACAATGAAGAAATGTTTTCACTGATATCAGCTTGCTGCTCAGGGTTCTGCTCTTCAGTGCTAGAGTAGAACCCCCTGACCTTGATACCGTCCATGGGACACTCATTAGAAACACTGCCAAGATCAAGTCAAGCCATATTCAGAATTTTCTGTCTGTAAAGATTCTGTCTGGAAGTACAGACCCACAAATCTGAGGAAGAAGGGAAGGAAGAACAAAAGCAAAACTATTTTCTTGTCTACCTTTGCTGACAAACTGAAATTAAGTTATATTTATGTTTAATATGTTCCCAGCATTTCAATAGTGAAAGTTTCAGTTAAATATAATTGCAATTCTAACAACATTTTTAATCTTTTTAAAGAGAAGTATTTATCTTTTAGTGAAAACTCACAGAAAAAGAGGAAGTGGGATAAACATGAACTCCTCAGAAGTTTAAATATACAGCTGTTTGCAGTTGTCACACTTAATTTTTGATAGATTTTCTGTCTGGATTTGGACAATAGCTAGTAAAGAATATTTTACGTTCAGTGAAACTATTTTGCTGGCTTTCAGTTCACCTTGGAAAAAAAAAAAAAGATTCCATTGATGCATCAGATGATACCTAACTATGTATGGAGTTTATTTACTTAGTTTTAACTACGCAGTCTTGCTTTTAAGATCAGTTCTCTAACAGCAGAACCTCTCTCTCTACTTCCTCTGTACAGACGTCACACAGGTAAGCAGAATGAACATACAGCAGGAGGAGGGAAACAAAGTATGAAACAACTCACTATCAACAAAAAAAATTACTATGATACAAATATGCCTGAAGATAATTTTAGCCATATCTGCTACTAATTCAGTGAAAAAAAGGCCCAGCACTGTTTAGAAAGGTAAATGTAAAGCAAAACAAAAATCCCTTCTTTTAAAGCAAATTATAATATAGAGTGTATAAGGAATTTAGTGAATAACAGACTAACGCTGAACAGACAAAGGAGAAATGCTATGTAGGAGTTCAACTTTTCATACAAGGTAAAGATGCTTCATCTGAACCATCTCCCCATCCAGTTAACAACCTACAGATAACAATAATGCAGACTAGAAGCTACGATTCCCTGACCATGCAATGCAACATCGAGAAAACAAGTTGTTTTAAGAATCATGTTTGTTCCCTCCTCTTCTTCCTTTAGAATATTCAAAATAACAATCCTTGACTAATAAACCCCTCTGGAATAACAAAGGCAATACAGGAAGTCTGCAGGTAAGTTTTCCTAGTGCTTTCTGCTAGTATTAACTGCAACAATTGGCTTTTAAACTTTTTTTTTTTTAAATATTCGTGTAGTCTTTAACAGAAAGCTTTAACTTAATAAATATTTAAAACACACCATGATTCCACTCCCCTCCCACACAAAAAGCATTGAAACTATTTTCTTACCCTTTTAATTGCTGTTTTTCCAGACATTCTACATTTATTTCAAATTTTTCAGAAGAAAAAACTGCACTTCTCCTCCTTTGGCCAAAGAAATATGCAAGATATCTGTTTTCATTTGAAAGATGAAGTACAATTTAGGGACACATACTTAAGCTTTCAGCAGTGGTGATATATTCTATCTTTCTATATGTTTCTATAGAAAGTGTGTAAAAAACATTTTTCCTCAACAAGATTACTTAGCAGCTTTTTCATATCTAACTGTCTGCCAACTCAGACTGTGTAGACATCCTGTTACAGTGCTGCACTGAATAGCAGTATACAGGCAAGAAGTTACATTTTTGCAGCTCTAACAGTTATTTTCTGGACTAAGAAAACAACTTTTGCTTTATAAATTACGGAACTGAAACATACAAGAAGAGAGTACTGACTGTTAGATGAATTGTTTCACAGTGGCCCATGATAAGCTAGAGCAGACATGTCACCTCTCATCTACTCCCTCCTGTAGATAAGGCTCACACTGTCCCCTGCCTTACCTAGCTTCACGTTTTAGAGATGCTCTAACCCTGTATATAGCTCACTCTTAACCACGCCTGCTCCTATTGAGTGGAGATGATGCTGAGCAGTGCTACCCATGCTCCTAACTGCAGTATCAGGAAGAACACCATGTTTTCACTGATAGTGACTGAAAACATCAAGGGGCCGAGACAAGCAAATATAGAATGTGACACTGGGGAACACCTATATGGATGGTATGTGAGGAAAAACCAAACAAAAGTCATGTTACTGTATAGGAAAGAGAACACACATAAAAGTGTTAATGCTTTTGCTACTACTTCATGTATTGCATAATTAAGAGCAGCTACTGAGTTAAGAAAACTGAACTTGCATTCAAGAAGCCAATTCTCATGCATCATCGATACTATTATTTCTCAAACAGCACTTATGTTGTCAAGCCCTATGGACAATTCAGTGAGTCAAGGTACTCCAGAAACTATCCAGCTAGCAGTGGGATGCCCTTCAACTTTCCCCACAAGAATAAAGGTAGGCCTGGTGATCCAGTTGAGTCTATTTCAAGTAAATGCCTTACGCACAAAATTCTATGGATTAACTCCATCGATTACAACAAAACTTTTGAAAAAAGACAGCCAAAGCATCACCTGAAGAGATCTGACAGTTACACAAATATTTTGTGTCTAATGCAGGAATTTTATCATATTTTTTCTGAGTACCATTAGGAAAAGAAACTTAAAAGAAGAGGAAAAGGATATTGCTGTTACAGCTGTATCTGCTAGTAGCCTGCGTCACCTTATTTCTTCAGAGGTAGAAACAAGGTTCTCAAAATACAGTGGCTTCTATACTAAAATCCCTTAAAGAAAGCTATTCACAGGCTCATATTCATGAGCTGTCAAAAGACAGACTGAGTGTAGCCCTCAGTTTTCCATTGGTAAATAGTCCAGTATTACCGTAATGCATCTATCTGAAATACTGTGTTATTTATGAGAAGGGCACTGATCATACCACAGACTTCCTACTTCAAACACAAATATTCTGTGTATGGGTTGAAGTGTGAGAAACCTCTCTGAAATTCTAACACCACAGTGTATTATAAATGATGCAGGGCTCTCAGTCCCCACAGTTGCCTGCAAATCTTTATTTTTTAAAGCTTGCTCTGGAAAATTATTTCCCTAAAGTCTTTTCTATCATCTCTAGAAGCTTAAGGATCAACGAAAGTGTGCCACAGTAGCATGAAGAGATTTGTGGTTTGAAATTTTGAGTTGTTAAATTACTGATGAGCAATTTCTTCCACTTCTGAATATCCTCTATTGTCTCTTCCTTCCCTGACATCTAGGCCAGCTTTGCCAGATATTTGTAGCAAATTTCAATGGTTTCTTTAGGTGCACAAGAACTGCTCCCAAAACCTAAACTGCAGTAACTTTGAAGGGATTTTCCATACCTCCTTAAACAAGTGCTGATTTATCCATTTGTTTATGTGGAGCAATGTGTTTAGATTAAGGAAGTCATTAACAGAAAATGTACAGGTATTGGCCTACAAGAGATATCATACAAATTTTTTTCCTGTTGACACCTGGCAGAAGTGTGTGTTAGAAGTGGTTCTGGTGTGCTACACCCATCCCTAGTCAGCTACCTGACAGGGCTTTTGCATGGTTTGCCCACAGCAAGCATCTGTGCAGTGCCTTCCTAACTGCAATACACTGACTATAATTTGGAGCCTAAGGACAATGGGAACAGATAAAAATAAAGGTATCCCTTCTTGACAAAGAAAAAAAAGGCTTGAGCTTATTTTTATTGGCATATTTAAAGTAGCCCTGGTGTTTTTATCCAGGCCTGGAACACAACGTCACTGTAAACCAACATTGCACAAAATCTGTTTCAAAAAAAACCATCTCCTAAGTCTTCATGCTAGATACACATCAGAGAATAAAGGACACAAAAAATTAAATAGGGAAGAACAATATAAACATGACAGGCTTCTAAGAACTTAGAGGAAAAATTCTGATGCTTTCACCAGCAATGCTGAAGAGATTGAGACAGCCATTAGTTATGTCTACAGGTAGGAACAGAACTGTGCAAGAGAAGCAGTATTTAAATCTTGCTGGTTTTGCCTGCAGCATCATGAAAGATCCCTGAAGAAAATTTCCAATGAAGAAAATTCATAATGGCATAGAGAAAGGTGTGGAAGCTGGGGCATATGAAAGCAAAGAAACATTTCTAATAGAAGAGCTTGTATAACAAATAATGAAAAAGCCAAAATCTCAAGAAGCAGTAACAATAGCATATACAGTGAATTTGGTGGGATTCTCTAGGAGACTGGAATTACTGAGAGGAAAAAAAAAAAAGACAGGCAAAGTGAGCTGGAATGCCAGGCACAGAGCATGGAGTGCAGTAGGAACAGGCTGCTGCACATAGCTAGAACACTCTCAGACAGTAGAAAAACCTCAGAGGAACATCTGCATGCACACACAAGCAGCAAGCAAACACTTCAGGAATACAGAGGGTCACCCAGCCCAGAGAGATTAATTAATAGTGAAACTAATCTCAGTCCAAATGCCATGATAAATTGCATATATCCATTTCACTTAAAGGCTTGAATAAATATCCAGTAAATAACCAGACAAGAATGAAAAGGTAAGAGCAAGCATGCTTTCCTAGTCTGAGATCCTCTCTGGATAGGCCAGCTTGAGGGAGTTAACTGCATATCACATCCAGTACAGTAACCTTCTACAGAATGTCACTGGGAAATAAAGAAAGAGCCCTCCCAGGTTTGATCTCGAGATAAATTACCACTGCTCAACTTCTTAACTTTCTGCTACATCTCTCTAAATTTCTGAAGTGAAGTTACTTTTGGATTCTGAAAACAAAAATTCAGTCTTAAATTGAGACCTACGGTCAATCTGTCAAAGAATAGAAAGTCTGAATGAAAAAGGCAACGTTTCCATTGAGCAGTAATGTTAAACACAACTCGTGGTGGATGTACAGAAAATGTCTTCTGGCTACTCATTAGCCAGAGAAGCTCTTATCACAGTAATACAATGGAAAGAGCCTGAATTTCAGAGGTCCCAGAAGAACACACAAAATACGTAGGGCAAAAGCTTGCAGAAGCAACAATTCATGCTTTCTAGAAACTCTCTTAAGAGCTAGGATCAGGACCACAGAACAGAAAGAAAGCAAGCTTCTTTTGAAACCATGACACAAACTAAACAAATCTTATTTCAGCAAAGACCCACTTACATTCAAAGAACCTTTTTTTCCAGATTGTTTTCCACAAAAAAGCTAAGGCTACTACAAACATTTAAAGATCGAAAATGTGAAAATCCAAGGATAAGACGAACTAATTCAAGAACTAAGTAAGAGGAGAGCATCCAAAGACCAACAGTTTGCTCGAGTCTGAATTTGCAATTAATATGAACTTATCAATATTAAAAAATGAAGCAAGAAGCACACCGCAGTTTATGAATATATTTAGACATGTTAGTGCTCAGGGACTGCAACTGTATTAGCATCAATAGGCAGCATTCCTCACGGTGAGGATTTTAGCTTTCTGGAGGCATAATCAATATTTTCTGCATATCTTCTGTAGGATTACCTTACAAAATGATAATCTTTTCTATCTGTATGATAAATAACTATCAGAGATTTAATCCTATTACGCAATTTAAGGAAAAAAAAGAAAATTAATGCCTACAACAGAAGCACGGTCCCTGTGCTATTAGACCATAATTGAGTGCTTAGTAGTAGCAAAGAGTCAGGGGGAAAAAAAAAAGCTTGTATCTCAGTTTATTAATGTTTGTTTACATCTTGTCTAGCTGTACAACTTGACCAGCAATAAAACCACGAACTTCTCATTTTGCAGCAAAAGAACACATTCTAGGAACCGGGAAAAAAATTCAGTATTCTAACTTCACTATGAGGAAAAGAACAGAATAACCATTCCCTGCTTGAAAATACAAATACTTCCTTTTTGAAGATTTCTCATTTCAATGAAAACCAGCATATAAAAAATTTGCTTTTTTTTCATAGAAAGAAATGAGGTGTAAGCCAGAATTTTCTATTTAGATCAAAGTTACCATTAACATCTAAAACATCACAAGTAATTCATAGAATGGATTTCATAGCACTCAGAGCATTCGGTTTACAATTTGTTGATAAAGATCCATCTTCAAGCTCAAAAATACCCTAAATACAGAACTGTTAGTTAAACAACAATAATGAATAAATATAATTATATGATCACCCTAATCAACTACTGCTTACAGCTGGCATTCACTGTACAACAGAGGAATCTGCCAATACATTATAGCCTTTATCCAGAGCCACCCAAGTGCCAGACCTTGAAGTTACTATAGCATCTATTCAGGAAGAAATCAACCTAAGTATCAGGCCAGGCCATTGGGTCCAAAGCAAATATACCTGCATTTGCATCGTTTCTTTAGTGAAAAAAAATTCAGGCCTTTTAATTTGAACCTAAGTATAGTTCTAGGCTAAAAATCTCTTGCTCTCAAATAATGCTATTCCCAGTTCATATCAAAAACACAGTTACAAGTGAGCATGCATACAACTGAAACCAGTTTTAAGATAAAAGGGCTGCACTGAAAGTAATGCCTCCTATTTTATTATGTTGGTCCATGGCATCAGGGGCAGATGATGGTGGTATGGCAGTAGGGGCTGAGCCTTCCCACCAATACTCCATTATGTTTGGTTGCCATGTGACAGATGGCAGCAGAGAGACAGTCTGACATGGAAGTGCGTATGAAGCAAAGGGATGTCACTGAATTCCTTGATTCACAAAAGGTAACACCCACTGACATTCATCAACTTTTGATGAACATTTCTAGGGACCAAACAGTGGATGTGAGCACAGTGAGGTATTGGATGGTGTATTTCAGCAGTGGTGATAGCAACAGTGGCTCACCTCCACTGGTACAAGTTGTTACAAGCATAGCATTCAGGCTTTTGTTCACTGCTGGCAGAAATGCATAGCTAATGGTGATGACTCTGTTGAAAAATAGTGTTTTGTAGCTGAGAATTTGCTCTATCAAACAGTGTTATTGTGTTCTTCATATCTGTTGTAGTCTCCATAAAAATAAATAGGAGGCATTACTTTCGAAGCAGCCAATATAAAACAAACAGAACATGTTTTCTGCATAAGCCCTACGTGGGAAAAAAAAAAAAAAATCTATTAACAATAGCCATAACCGTTATGTATGTTCCTTACCTGTTTTTTCCTATGAAAAGTTTGTGAAAATGTTTATCAAGTTCCCTCCCAGCTAGCATCAAAAGAATGAAGCGCCTAGGTCCAGAGTCTCCCACATGCATTCAGTTCTTGTCTCATCCTCTTCTACTGGAAATCTTTGACCATTACAGAGTCCGGACACCTCTACAACTATAAAATATAAAAGAAATACCTGGGCCCCCCAACAGTGTCCTCTTCAAACAGATAGCAGAGAGATGCTCACAGTTATGCCATTCCTACGCAGATAAATATTGGTTAAACATGAAACTGTCATCCAGCAGAGGAATTAAGATATAAACTTGCATTTATAACACTTTTATCCTGGTGTAAGGCCTCATAAAGCTAAAAAATAACAGAACCTTCCACACTAAATAACCTCTCATCTCTGCATTGACTTCTGATTCACTACCAGTATAGTGTCATACTGTGCATGTTAAGGGCTACACAGGCTGGTGCAATCACAAAGGACTAAATTCTCCTGTAGAAGATCTTGAAAATGCCCAATGTTTCCAACAGAGCCTCCATGTGCTAAGAAGCTCATTTGGAATATCCAGATTTAAGATCTGAACTAATAAATCTAATATCATCTCAATCCCTATAGGCTTGCATTTGTATTAGCCAGCATGCAAACTGCAAGTTACAGAGTGGTTGGAGATGGAATGGGTCCCTAATGGTAATCTGGCCCAATCCCCTGCTCAAGCAGGGTCACCTAAAGCCAGTTACACAGGACCATATCCAGATGGCTTTAGAGCATCTCCCCAATGGACTTCACAACCACCCTGGGCAATCCGTTCCAGGGTTCAATGGCCCCCATAACAGAGAAGTGTTTCCTTATGTTCACAAAGAAGTCTGTACTAGCAAAGTTCATCAACACTATTATTCTTCCTAAGAAAATTACTTTCCTCAGAAAGATCCTAGGAATTTTGTCAGGGAAAAAAAAAATCTGAAGGCTGCACTATTAGATGCAGTTAACTAAGTATGTTGATACTGGCCACCACCATGTAACACAAAGTAGAATAAAAATTAAGAACTCCAAAAAGCAACATTTGTGCTTTAAACAATGACATCACCAAGCATGTCAATTGAATATGCAGAAGGAATGTTTGGAATGGTGTTCAAATCCCAAGCTAACTGTTCTGGCATGCAGCCACATAAATAATGCTTTAATTTAAAACATTACACATCTACCAACTGCTAGAAGTGCATTTGTGTTGGCCAGACTTAAGGAAGAATTTATTCACAATATTCCACTCCTGCATGATGCCACAAAGCTGATAAGCGTTCTGCAAGTCTCAGATTACAATACAAATCTGTGTACTTTAGTTCTTTAAAGGCTGTGCCTCTACAGTTATTATATATTGATTAAACAGGACTTAATAAGCTCGGTATCCCTGGCAGAGTGTGTGAATAGCTTCAACTAGAGCTACTTTCAGATTTTGTCATTTTTAGCATCCCTACTGAAAACGTGGAATGTCTTTCAACACTAGCTAAATCCTGGTTTAAAAGACAGCTCTTCCTGTTTCCTCACAACAAACTCGCCTCCCTGAAATGCATATTTCCTTGAAGTTTCTACCTTCACTAATCAAGACCTACAAGAAATTCACAAGAATTTGCCTATTTATGAAAGGACAGCTATTATTTGACAAGCTTCATGATATTTTCAGAGGGGGAAAAATGGGTTTAAAGTATAGGTTTGAAGGGGATATTCACCACAGGAGCACAAACCATTTTGATTGCTTATGTCAGTTAAACCTACTTATACATTTCAGAAGATACTAAGAAAAAAAAACAGAAGAGTCTTTTAACTACTTAAAATTCTCATCATGAACCTTTCTACAATTTAACTGAGAGCTAACATACCTCTATCAGAAGGAGTTTCATGTGAAACTACATAAAACTCATTCAAAATAAGATTTTCAGAGAGACAGTTAAATCTAACTATGGTGTTCTACTATTAATTAGAGGAAATATGCAATTGACTGAGAAAGCCCAAATCCCAAAGAACTAAAATAGTTCATCTACCTAATGCCTTTTCCACAGAAAGTCTGAACTGACAGCATACAAAGAATATAGAGCTCATGGCAACATTTCCTTCCACACTGACTATTGCAAGCACAGACAACTGCAGAATTAGAAAAAAACAAACCACCTGTTTTAGGGAACACACCTGTATTACACGATCCCAACCAAGCAGAATTTCTGAAGAGAAATGAAGTCACACCTGCAGCATGGAAAAGAGAACAAACATTATCAGCTTTAAAAACTTATTTCATGTCAAGTTTTGCAACTGTTGTGGGGGTTTTGTTTTTAATTATTAGAAAAACCAAGCAGTGTAGTATTAACAGCAAAATATATGGTTTTATTTTCATCTCTCTCTTGGAATATGACATTATCATTCAGAATTGTTGTGCCTCCCTCTCTATCCTTGGGCCAATACTATTCCATTATCAGACCACATATAAAAGAGTCACTGTTACATTTTTTTTGCAATGTAGACAACCTGCTTCCCTTATTCTCTTTGTACTCCCAGTTTTTTTTCCCTCTCCAGTTCACTTGCTCAATTACTTGAATAGGAATTAGAATAGTATTAGTTTGTTACAAACTACAGCACAACTCATCAAAACTACTGCTGGAAGCTACAACTTTCTAAATCAAATCTTAAAAGAATAGTATTTTCCCGTTCTTCTCCTGAGCTATCATCCCAACTATCTCAGCAATATGAACAACTTTGCTTCATGGGTCCAAAATTTTCATTATTGTTTTATTTTCTTGTAACATCTGGAAGTTACTGACTGTTGCACAGCAAGCAGTGCAGAAATAGCACTTGATGCTGGACTAAATATCAGTTTCCTAACAATTCAGAGAAGACACACATTTCTGTGCACTCAATGATACTTTACAATCTTTGAAAATTTAATACCCTGAATAACTATAATTTTCAGCATTCTGACAGACTACAGCTCAAGGGAAGCATGCAAAACAGCAATAAAAAAAAAAAAAATCAGTTTCTTAAGGAGGCCATAAGGTACCTTAATGAACACGCTTAGTCTTTCCAAAGATGAACGGGTCATCAATATATTCCTAGAAAACAAACAAAACAACAAGCTTTATTTGCAAGATAAAAAATTATTCACAAAACATAAATCAAGTCCATTTAACAATGCAGTAGAAGCCCAACCATGAAGACACAAACTCCACTGATGAGGAGAAGTTGTGAAGACTATAGAACTGCCCTCAAAAAAAAAAAAAAAAGATGATCTAAGCTCATATAAACAATCAACTCTATTCCTGCAGCATCCATACCAACTCTACTATTTCACTTCCGCCCTGTTTTAAGATCAGTTTTGTTATTTTTAGAGTCCCTGTTTTCTCCATGGAGTAGCTAATAACAAAGTTAGCCTCAGGTAACTGGACAAAGTCAACTCAGTCTTACTACGAATAGCCCAGTAATAGGGCACTGTTGACCTTAGCCACTTTACCTCATGGGAGGTCAAATGATCTCAGCTGTGCTGTGATCACTGAACAGGGCCAGCTCCTGATTCATCATTTGCTTTCTTATGACTATAAGCCAGTTAACAAATGTAGCCCCCAAAAGCAGTCAGGGCAACTATACAGTCACCTGGCAGGAGCTGTTCTCTTTTTTTTACAGGCAAGCATTCCTTACTCTGTGAATACCATCATCAGTGCTCAAATATCCACAGTGGATTTGGAGTTGTCATCCCCACAGAGCAAACTGTCTTTCTCAAGTCTACTTCTTAAAACCTAAATAAAAAGCCAAGGCACAGAGCTAAGTTTAATTGCCAACAGGGTGGGCATTTTCCATGAGGGTAAAAAAATGTATGAACATAAAAATGCATCCATGGTGGACAAGATTGTTGCAGCCTGTTCCAAGACTTCTTGAGAAGAGGCTAAGCATGGTCAGCTGTACCTGATCCATAGTAATTTCTAGACTTCATTCCAGTGCTACAACAGGCTTCATCTACTTTTTAAAGTTGAACGAAGATGCTTTGCATTAAACGTAAATTTAAAGACATTCCATTTTCTAAACTGAAAGCCATTTCTTCAGAGAGCTGGAGAACTTATTAAACCAGACAACAGTCAGAACTCCTCTAAGTTTGCACAGGTCAACTCTTGACCTTTTGGGGCAAAATATGGGATACAGTACATTTAAGAAAGTACTGTCACAGAATGGATGGAAAAATCATCACGCTTCACCATGCAGTAATATATATTTCATCTTTGTCATGCATGGAAGTAGATACAAAAGCATCTCCAACACCATATTTCAACTTTCATACCTGTTGAAATCTCTACTTCTCCCCTACTTTGAGGGAAGGTCTGAAGAAAGGTATAATTTCACCACATTGTATTAAATTCACATAAGTTTCAGATGAATGCTACTCTTTATATGCCATTATAGTTCATGTCTAATTGCAGACTTCAATCAGAATGGAAGTCTCATTCTGGAAAACTGCAGCAAACCATTAATACACCCCACAAAGCATGGCCACCTAACAAACATTCTGTACTTGTCCTAAAGCTGGATGTGTTTGTACTGAGAAATGAGAGATCACGTTGCCCGGGAACCCATAGCAGAGATGTAATAGCGAGCAAAGAAGTGCTTTATGTACCTAAGATCTTTGTGTAACTAAAGAAACAAAGTAGTAGAAATGTAAAAGTACATGAAATAAGGTCAAGCACAAAAATCATACCAAGATACAAAAGAGGGAAGGAATAAAGAGTGTAGGAAGTGAGACCAACAGAAAATAGAAGTACTGGACATCCTGGACACCTCATCCCATCTCTCAGAACTTCATTTAGAGCAAATATGGATGTTACTCACACAATTTAAGGACAGGATCTTGGAAACACAGCATAGCATGTGTTCAACATTTTAAGAGACAGTCTGAAACACCTATACAACAAAATCCACAGTGATTCTGTCTACAAGAAAAGCATTAAAACTTACCACCTGGAAACAAGACATCAGTTCTGCCCATTAATCTCAGCATGTAAACACGCTTTTCCCCACTATCATATCTTTTTGGGATGAACATCAGTCCTGTTAGCTCATACAACCTCCAAAGCAACCTTGTACTCCTGCCAAATAAGTGTGCTGCTCCCTGTTTCTCCATTTATCCACCTGCATACAACATGGTGAGGCTTCATCCCTTCAGCACTACAAGTAAAGCTTTGCTTTCTTTTGGGAGAAGATGAAGGAAAAGGGAAACCGTGACTACATAACTCAAGGGAGGCAAATTTAGTCTTATTTCTTACTGTGTTCTAAAAGTGAATTGTTTAAATCAGGCTTCCAAAGCAGACCTCTAAGACTTGTTCTATTTCAGCAGCAGCTGAAAACATCCACACTAAGCTTTTCTTCACCTCACAATAGCTCTCACACACATAAATTAGTCTCATAGCTTCACTTGTGTATGCGGACAAGCACAAAGAGCATGCACTTCAGAACTATTGCCTGTGCAGCTTACAAGAAACTTGATGCACTATTGCTGTCCCTCAGGAATGCATTAAGAGAGAGAAGACCAAGTGAGAGAACCTTGGACTGGATGGGTACAGCCTAACACAGGCAATTAGAGATCCTATCTACACCTGAAGAATAACTTCTGAAACACCAAACAGAGGCACAGATGCCTGCACTGCTGACAGGTAGAGCACAAGCATGCCCGGTGATCTACTAAGCCACTTAGTAGAGTAGCAGTCACTGTGCATATGCTCAGGCATGTGGATTCCCATGTGTTTGGGTGCTTCTCTACCACAGCAAGTTGTCAGTTCACTGTCAGTGTGAACAAACTCTGCCCCACAGAGTAGCTCCAGAGGTTCCACAGCCTCTGCAGACATACACAAACCATCCAATACTCCTTTGGTCTCCTGCCATTCTACACTACAAAAGTAGCCTCGGGTCACAAGAGCTCGCAGCAACAGACCCCAAAATCACTAGCCTATGAAGTGAGTTTCTGACATGCCCTTTAAACAAGCTTCACATAAGGAAGTATTTCACCTGCAGCTAAAAGAAAAATGTCTGCATGTTAGAAGGAAGAGTCATTCCTCAGTAGGCAACAAGTAGCAAATAGAAGGCTTGCTCCCAGCAGCACAGGTGGGAAGAACAGCCTGGCTCCCATCATCGTTATGATGGGGGGATCATACAACTGAGGCAACAGTTGTTAAACACAAAAGCAGTCAGGCACCTTTACACACTACACAAACCATAGAATGGCCTGGGTTGAAAAGGACCACGATGATCATCTAGTTTCAATCCCCTGCTGTATGCAGGGTTGCCAACCACCAGACCAGACTGCCCAGAGCCACATTCAGCCTGCCATCTGTGGCATTACTTTAAGATCTACTGTTTCCTGCATCCAAACTTACCTGCACCAAAAATATAAGTCAAAGCAGTTTAGAGTAATATAATTAATGTAACTTTTTTTGTGATACAGTGCTTGACAAGATAGGTCAACATAATAAATACTTCAGCAGTTTAAAACTTGCACCAAAGGAATAGGATATAACAATGTGGACAGTATGAATGCAGCAAGATAACACAGCTAAAAATGTCTGTAATACACATCCTCAGAGGAATTCTAGGCCACGCAACCAAAACTGGACACAGAAATTCCTTTTCAGAAACACCGGATAACCCAGTAATTACGATGTGGTAACATCATGAATATAACACAGTGGCTACAGCACATCCACGCCAAGCATTACGCAATTCCTTGGTAAGAACATGACGTTCCTTTTTAACGCAGGCCAATGACAGCAGGGAATATAAAATACTACAGTCAATCTAAACTAGTCAGAATTTACTGCTCTTCTGATTAGCAATAATCTGCTCTCCTTTATACACCAAATATACCTCATCCCACACTAACTTGCCCATGTGCCTACACTGTAAGGTGTTAAACAAACCCAAACTTCTCTACAGTAAAGCACATTTTAATGTTATATAAGTGTTAGAGAAATAAGGGTGTGGCAAGAACCCAGGAAGAAAGAAGAAAATTGGTTTATCAGTCTGTATCTAAAGCAAACACTTCCCAGTCAGAATAAAGTCTGAGGTAGAAGAAAAGTCTAGAATCCACTTCAAAGCACTTTGCTTTCTTCTCATACTGCAGCTCAGCTCCACCAAAAATCTCAGTTTACCAAAACCAGTGATTTTTCATAAGGGAAATTTATTAGCATGAAACTATATTGTTCAGAGATAAGCTCAAATAAGCCTATTTGAAAAGCTGAGGCTGTTATGAGCTTCAATCTTTGTGATTGAAGATGTGTGGAAAAGGTATTAGACTGAGAGCTACCACTGTATGCTGACTCTATGATGCCCTGTGGAGGCATAAAAGGAATATGAGTAAGCTGTACAAATGAAGATTACTGAAATTTTCAGATTGCATTAGTGTGTTAAAATAAATATGGGAAGCCTACAACAAACCTTAGCAACCGACAAATAGAGAAACCACATAGTCTTTGGATCAGAAACGGATCTAGAAAACTTGCTGAATTTGAAGAAAGTACACAAAAGGCAAAATCTTACTGCTTGAACCTTGACAGTAGATCAAGGCCAACTACAGGACAGACTGTGTTCTCTCACTGCATGAGGTTGGACACTCTGCCCGAATGACCAACTGCTCTAACAAACCATTCTCCCTTCTACTTTAATCACCTGAAACTGTCAAAACTACGCCAGAACTGAAGGATATGACTTCTTTCTTCCACTCCAGGCCAAAGGCCCTCTCTGAGAGCACCCCCTCAGACCAGGGACAAGGCCTCTACACCTCAGGGCCATGTCCAACTCACAGCACTGATGGCAAGGCTCGCATCAAGGGAAGACACTATCCCATTCTCCAGCTTTGCAGAAATAAAGTAAATAATAAAAATAAGAAATCACAAGAGCATGCCAACACACACAAGTGTGAGAAGGGGCCTGGAATTGTAGCACAGTGACAGGGGCTTTCTCTGACATGAGCTAAGCTATAGGCCCTGCTCTTGAGTTTCATATTTGAGATCTTCTGTACAGTGTACATGAGCAGCGCTGTGCTTCAGCTAAGGTCAAGGACTAACAGACACCTGGACACCCAGAAGGCAGGAAAAGTTTGAGTTTCACCAAGTTCAATGGCCCCAAACAGTCCAAAGAACACGGAGACATCCAGAAAATAAGCCCACACATTTAACTGACAGCTCAACATAATTTGTTTTTATCAAATATACATCATCAAAACTAACCATTCACAGATAAGTAAGTACTTGCTGCCCATCACAGGGAGGCACGTGGATTAAATAGTTGACAACAAGCAATAGCCAGCTCCAGAAGTTCGCTGCAGTTCCGTGAAGTGACAGCTTGCGTTAGCTGCCACCTGTAAGCACTCTGTGGTTACAGCAATGTTGGCAACTTGAAGCAGTTCTTCATTGCACTAACAGACTTGGCCACAACCCTCTGGCTGGAACAGTTACATAATTTCCACCTCGATTTGTACTGATGTAAGGGGCGGCCACTCAATGTCAGAAGTACAAGTACACGGCTGCCTTACGTGCGGAGAACAAGTTGAAAGAAACTTCATGGCTGAAAGCCAAGAGACAACTTATCGCAGCACCCTCCCTGGGTACTCTGGAGCCACGTTGCCATGTCTGCCCAGAACACGATGTCAGCAGTTCACTTTGCAAGATCCACAGAACTGCTACGGACGCCCCGTGGGGTTTTATAAGCTCTCACAGCACACAGAGAAGGCTGCATCCTACCCAACTCACCGGGAGACATGAACCGCCAGCCCAGCTGTTACCGTGTGGCTCGCTATTTGCGTGAAACTCTTCTTACATAAACGGTTTTGTAATCACACATGTAATAGCGTGCACCCCATGTCAACAGGCACTCCGCCGCGGTCTCGGGGCACAGCACGTCCCCGCTCCCGGACCTGTTGCCCGCCCCACCTGTGGCACCGCGCAGCACCGGGGAGCGCCGGGAGAGCAGCGGGGGGGCGCTGAGCCCCACTCCCGTGCCCGCCCACCCGGTACCCGCGGCACCGACCTCTCACCGCGGCGTCACGCCACGCGACCACCGGAATGGAGCCCGGGATAACGCGGAGGGACCGGCCACGTCGAACGGGCCATCGCCCCCTTCGGCCGCCGTGCCGGGAGCAGCCCCCCCCGCGCCAGCTCCGCGCACCGGGCCGCCGCCGCCGCCCCCTCCCTCTCTCCCTCTTTCCAAATCCAAGGATCGGGGGCAGAGCCGCCGCCCAGCGCCGGCCGCGGGGCGGCACACACCCGGCCCCATCCCACAGCCCTACGGATGGATCCGTCCCGTCCCGCGGCGGCGGGAGAGACTCGGCCGCGGGGTTACGTAACCTCGGCCCGGCGGACCAGGGGGAGCGGGGCAGCCCACCGGGCCCCGCACAGTCACCGATCGCCCCCCACCAGCCTCCCAGCCCCGCCAGGACGCGGGGAAAGCGCCGCGGGCCCCCAACTCACCGCACGCCTCACGTCCGCCCAGCGCGGCGCAGCCCGGCACCGACTTCATACAGGCAGAAACGTGACCGGGCGTCCGGAGCCCGCCCCTCCCGCGCTGCCATTGGCTGCGGCTACGTGACGCAGACGAAGGACCGGGGCGGGGGCGGGGCGCGCTGCTCTTCCATTGGCTGTGCCGCACGCCGCTCACTTTACATAAGCCTCACGTGTGACACCATGTTTCCACCGCCGGCCGCCACCGCCGCCGAGTCTGCCCCGACGGCCTCCCCTCCCCCTTCCTATCGCCACCACCCCCTTCCTACCACCACCATCCCCCCTACCTCCTTCTCCCTCTCTTCGCACGGCTCGCGGAGTGCTTACTGCCACTAGGCAACCCCCCGCCGCGCTGCGCCGCGCCTCCTTCAGACCGCGGTTGCCGAGGAGGGCAGAGGTTACATCACGCCCCGGGGGAGGGGGGGGAGCGGCTCCGCCCCACCCCTCAGAGCCGACCGTGACGTCAGCGCACGTCCTCTGGGCTAGCGCGCGGGGGACCGTTGGCGGTCGCGGCGCGCGCTCGCAGGCTCTGGGGGGCGCGCGACAAGGCTGCCAACAGCCGTTAACGGTCGCGGCGCGCGCTCGGCCCCGCCGAGGAGAGAAGCGCTGGGCGGACGGCGACAGGCGGCGCGAAGGGGCGGGGCGCGTTGCCTGGGAGCGCCGTACACAGACCCCAAACAGCGCCCGGCCGCGGGGTGCGGGGCTCCGTCACGAGGCGCTCCGCCCGGCCCCACCCCGGGCCTCGAGAAGCGGACGGGCGAGCGAGTTCCGCGCCTCAGAGGGAGCGGGCTGCGGTGCGGAGGCAGCGGCGGGAGGCGCCGGGACGAAGCTCCTTACATAAGCGAGGAGCGCCCCGGGCTTTCGAAACGTGCCGGCTGACAGCGCGGAGCTGCCTTGCTCCTGCTCTTAGCGAGCCTGGAATCACCACAGAAAGGTTTATCGCTAAGAGTCTCTGAGGCGTTCAAGGTACGTCCTGTTCTTGTGGAAAACCAGCCCCAATTACTGTGCAATTATTTCCATTCCAAGTGTAAGAATGAACTTTTCGTGTTTATTCCCCATTAAATCTCCCGACGCTCAGTATTGACGTTGCCCGTCTCACGGTGAAAAGTTCACATATTCCTCGAGCTGGTGGCGCTGAGTTGTGCCCAGGCCCCGCACTGTGGTGCAGGAGGACCTGAGATGTACTGCTGCAGCAGCATTGCCCGCTGCTGGCGGTCCTGCACTTCTGCTCATTTACATTAATGAGTTTATTCCACGTTATGAGCCTTAATTCCCTTTATCGTCACGCGTGGCGATGAAAAGAAGGTACAGAGGAGATGCCAAAGCTCTGCCAGCTTTGGTGTGTATACAGCAATTGGGTGTAACTGCATGCATGAGGTTGCTCCATGGGAAGTAAGGCAGCAGAGAGCCATCAGGGCTTCCACTATTTATCCACAAAATGAGGTTAATGCTGCTTCCCTCCCTCACTGTGGTGGTTTTAAGGATAAGTCCATTAGGTCCATAGATATTTAAGCAACAGCTATTGCAGAAACAGCTTGTGAGTAAAGTACCCAGCAGTATTTAACTCCTGGAGAGGAGAGGGGGCAGGGAGCGGAAGCATTAGGACAGGATCCCACAACTGGATTTGTTGCAAAGCACAAGTCAGCTTATCAGGATCCCTATTTTAGTTTGCACTCCCCTGAAGTTTCTAATTTAAAGACTAATCCTGATTAGATACGTTGCATTGTTTGGTCAACTTAATGGTGTTAGTGCTTCACATCCAGAACTTCATCATTCTGTTTAAATTATCTTTGTTAGGGATGAATGGATGTACAGTGACATTCTTGGGTTCCATGGGATGCTGGGTTTTTGTCATATGCCCAAACTACCCATCTTGTCTGTGTGCTGAGGGCTACACTTCTAAACATATGTTCTAAGTCAGGCCCAGAGGGCCCTGCCTATCCCAGCAGCTGGATGAGTTCCAGGACAAACAGAACAGAGGCACATCCATCACTGTAGTGCAACACACCAGTTCTAGCAGGAGAACAGTGATTACCATCACCAGAAAAAGCCAGTACCTTTTCTGCCCTAGTATCGACCAGTTGCATTATTTGAGTTCTGCTTATTTTAAAAGGATACAAAACAATTGTTTTGGTCAAGGTAGACGCTCACTGAGAATCAATTTAGAGTTCTATTCTTGCTGCTTTTTGGTATTAGTACAATAAAATATATTAAAAAAAAAAAGAAAAAATGCCACACACAAGATGGGAAAGCAGTTACTCAAAGAATGATTGTGCAACTGGAACAAAGTCAGTCTAAAAGTTTTCTACTGTACCTATTTTCTGAAAGTTGGCATCATGTATAAAAATTCAAGTTATTCTAGGCATCACCAGTATAAAATAAGTCAGGTACATGTGTTCGTGAGCAAGGAATATTACTAGTGATACAATGGCTCCTCTGCTAAGAAAACAAAAGAAGATGGTTGTAAGTGGCAACAGGACAAACTCAAAGCGAAATAGTTTAATTTTCAGCTTCCTCTGCTTATTAAGTAGCTGTAGCACAAGGGCTTTAGTAGCAGAATAAGTAAAGTACATTTCCTTGTGCGTACACACAAAAAAATTAGGATTAATCCATATAGAAGTCAAATCCTTTATGTAAGTCCATTTCACCCTACAACACCACATCTCTCACTAGCATCGCGTGGGGCACTGTGCTGCTTTAAATTCTGCCTGGCTCCTCCATCTAGTTTGGCAAGGCAATTACCTACCTGTGTGAAACGGGAGGGAAGGCAGCAGGCCTTCCTAGTAGGGTCCAGCCATAAGCAGCCAGGTTCGGGCTCTGCAGTTATATTTCAATTGCAGAACAAGCATTACTCAAGCTGCACTATTGATACTTCGTTTGCTACTGAATCTCTTCCTTAACATTTTTTTGTTGTTGTTTCAGCATAGTGTCTGAATTACCGAAAGATGAATTGCTAGAGCTCAACTTTTTTTTTTTCTTCTTTTCTTAATAGGTTTTACATTAATAAAATGTAATTTAGGAAAACTTCTTGTATGTGAAACTGCCCCCCTACCTCCATCACTGCTGAATATTATCAGTACTCCAACCCCCCACACCTCCACCCCCCAAATACTGGACCTTTCCCCAGCATACTTACAAAATAAAAGTTAGAATTTGCTTAGCAATAGTATTTCAGTCAGTTCTGGTGAACAGAGCAACATATTGACAATATCTGCTTTTTTTGGCGGGGGGGAATTGGAAAAAAAAAAACCAAAAACAAATCCTTCAACGAGGAGAAAAAAATGCTACCTGTTTGGGGTTACAGCACCGATGGAACTGTATATTGTTCAGGGGAAAAAAATCACTATTTTGCATCTGGAGCCCGCAACTAGTTCTTCATTCCTAGGTCTAATTACTCATCATTTGCAGTGGCACTGAGTTCCATCAATTCTTGCAGAGATCTGGAAAGGCATTTTGCTAATGAGCAAGAGGTGTCTGTACTATTACTGTCTGTACAGATGAAAGTTGAGGGAAGACTACTTACCTTCATTACGGTGACTACATGGGTAGGCTTTTCTTGAAGCATTCTCAAGTGTAGGAACAAAGTACACCAAACAGAAAGCTAGCAATATCTACACAATCTTGGAAACTGATTAAAAGTTCTTTGCAAAGATGAACGGCTGTCCCTGGCCAGAAAACCTGAAGAATTCTGGGGAATATTATTTTTCATTCAGCCCACATTCCGAATGTTTTCTTGTTATTTTTATTCAGTTTCTGTTGACAACTGCAGTGTAATTTTAAGGTTCAACTACCATGAAAAGTGACACATAAAGGAACATTGCATTGTTCTGATTTAGAAGAGCTGAAAAAACACAAATGGAAGTTGTGTGTCTCATCACCATAACTGTGTGCTGATCCCAAGTCCCTTACACAAATTCAGGTGTAAATACAGCTTTGTGGACTCTCAGGTCAGGGTTAAGCTGTAGTGTCTATCAGCAACTCATTTTCAAGTCATTCTCACAGAAGTCTGAAGAAAGCCTGAACTTCAATTCATAGGGCCAGAAAAGTTTTCAAGCCTCCTGTGTAATTCGGAGCTTTACTGTATGGTTTCACAATCTACCTAAGGTGATCGAAGGCCTTGCAGAAGCACCAAAAGGAATGGTAACACCACCTCTACTAAGTTAAAAAGTAGAGATTAAGCAACTGTGCTGTCAACTGGATTGGGAAATTGATTGGACTGAAAAATTCCAGGACAGCAGATGTTGGTTGGGCCATATCACAGCTGCAGGACCACTAACCAATAGGATGGAAGTCCAGATTTTGTGTCAGAGCAGAGATTCCAGAACCTATTGATATTAGCTGACAGTATGTGGAATTATGGAGTCAGGCATTTAAAATGAAATGTGCATGTCATTAAACTAACGTAAGAACACTGGTAAGGGATGACAAACAGAAAGTGAATCTTCATAATGTTGGATTTTTATGTCCTCTTCTGCACTGAAAAGAAGCTCCTCCATCAGGCTGGTGTTCGCCATTCAGAGCCACCCATTCAGATGTAAAGACAGCTTTCACACGGTCTCTGAGCTGGTGTAACACTTTGCTTTCATCAAGGGGGGCAGCACTTCTCTTCATGCCCTCCCTGCTAGTACCATGCTAGCATATTTATGGTTACATGGTCTTCACCCTCTCTTTTGCCTACACCACTACTTGGCCCCTCAGTGAGACAGAAACCTTTCTGAGTTAGTTTCCACACATCAAGCAACCGAATCTGGTTTCTTGTTGAGTAAATGCAATTCAGAGTCAATTCATGGCATGGACAGGACAAACATGAAACAAACGGGAAAGATCTTTTTAAAGGCAATGAGACAGAAAACATTTCCAGAGTTTTTGCTACCTGAAGCATGCAAATTTCTGGATTAAACACAGGCCAGTGTAGTGCATCTCCTTGAGACAGCTGGATTGCTCCACAAACACCTGAACAGCAGGGCTGTGATCTGGTGCTGTGCCTGCAGAACAGTGTGTAACCCAATCCTGGGCTCCCCACAATGTCTGATTCCTCAAGTGCTCCTTCTATTGATTTAAAAGTACATAGAGTTACTGACTTCCATCACACTTATCATCTCTTTTTTAACTCCAGTAGAGTGAGATGTTATCATTCTTAGCAAAATAAAGCAAGAAATACACCTTCTCTTAATAATAGAATAAGGCTAAAGAGACAAGATCTAGGTACTGGCTTCCCCTCTGGTGAGCATTTATGTAATTTTTATTAAATAGTCATTACGTAAAACATTGGATTATGACTTGGCACAGGATTGGAACTGGGCTCTTTCTTGTTCCCGGATAAGCTTTCAATAGTTGTGCCATGGGGTTATTCTGCTGCCCTTAGCTGCCAGAAACCTGTGGGTACAATGCTTCTGTGATTTGTTCCAGATCTAAGAAACAGATTATAACATTAACTGATTATAACAGAAACCTTCGTAAGAAATTGGATGCTGAGTAGCAGACTGTTAGAATCTCTTCCATAACTCAAACCAGACTATCAGGTATTCATCCGTTCTAATTCGGTTACTAATCACAGCTCGGTGATTTATAGTTGGTAAAGAAGGAAAAGCCAGATTTTAAATTATAAGGAGCCTATTTCCTCATATTTCTGAAGTGTCTCTTAATTAAAAACACTTCATTTTTAGATTGAGTTTCTCATTACCATTCAACCTCAATTAGTTTTATGGTGTTAGTTCACACGAGACACTTTGAACTCAATGCTGCTGCTACTGAAGTCAATGGAAGCTTGGTTTTGTTTTCAAGAGAGTGTGCATACTAACTTAACTGGCTGTGTTTGCTTCAGAAAGAGAAACTAAATTAGAAAGTTCCGATAAGCCACAAATTAAAAGAGAAAGAGAAATGACAACTCACTTTGCACTCTTTCACTGATCCATACCACTAAGGACTGAGGGACTGTCACAAATTCTATTATTCTATTAACTTCT